GCCTTGTCTGATTCTCTGGCATCTCTTACCCCCTTGCTGTCTGCCCATCCATCTGGACTCGACTCAGGTTTTTCCTTTCTGCCAGAGTAGAAAGTTCTGAATTTATCCCTCTCTCTGTCAACTCCCTTAGAGATTATAGAAATCCCAGTGGAGATAATAGAAGCCCTCCATAACACACACTTGGAGACACTGGTCATTGTTAAATTTGATGTATTTCCCTCTGATGAATATTATTTTACATATTTTGTGCTGGAAACACAAAATTTTGAACACAAATGATTAATCAAGGAGAGATTAAAAAACTATCATACCTCCCACAATGGAATACAGTCCCACAATTATTAAAAAAATTAGAATATCTGTTCTTATGTATGTATAAGGAAAGATAGCCATATAAAGAAACATATCGTTAGATGAAAAGAACATAATGCATAATAAGATAAAAAGGAGGAAATAAAAATATGTAATCATTTTTGTTGTACCTACATCAAAAAAACATTGGAAATTATCTAAGAAACTAAGCATTATCTAATGGGACCAAGGGGAATTAAGAAGATGGAGCAAGGATAGAAGTGGAACTTCTCAATATATCATGTTCTATATTATCTTGATTTTCTAAATCATAAGAATGTCATATATTTAAAAATCTTTAAACTGTAAGAATGGCACCTATCAAATAGAATTGAAAATGAGCAGTGTTAACAAATACCTATTCAAAATTTGGAGTTGGGGAGACAGAAGACAATCTATTAATGTTAATCTCTCAAAACAAAATCAAAATCTCATCTGGAAACACAGGTTTCAAAAACACAAAGTGAAACTAATTTATTTAGTAATTTCAAGGCATTGCAAAATCTTTAATGCATCTTTCTGAACTTTAAATAGATTTTTATGAAATACCATTTCCTGTGACAAAAATAGGAAATACAATCATTCCACCAATTTTATTTTAGTTTTTCCTTCTATTATATTCAAAATTAGAATGAACAATTTTGTTAATTTCATGATCTTATTTTAATAAAAATTCTTCTATTTATTTTTCTACACATTTATCATTATAGTTTCAAAGAAAAGCCTGAAATAATATTTGCCCATGGTAACAACGATAATTTCTGGATATGTGGTTACTTTTCATATTTTTATTTGTGCTTCTCTGAATCGTTTCAATTATTTATAATGAGCAAATATCAATAGGTATGTAATTAACATTTAAAAAAATTTTTTTCCAAATGATTTTAACTTTTTAACTGGTCAGTGTTCCTTTTTATTGAAGAAATATGCATATGTATATATTAAATGATATGTATAAATAACACAACTATCATATATTCAAAAAGGGTTTCTCATGAATAGCCACATTCTCCTGTCCTGCCTCCAAGAGACAAAGCACTTTCACCTACTTTTAACAATTTTTAAAGTAATTATCTTTGTAATTCTTTTAACAAGTAATTAAAAACATCCTACCATTCTTCATTGATTAGCTTTAAACTTCCTGCTATGGCAGATAAGGATTTAATACTCTTACACCATTCTTTTTATGGCTAGATTCCTATTTTTTTGTTGAGTCAGTAAGTTACACATTATTCTAATTGTATAAATATTGAACACTATAAACACAGTTCCTATCTTGTACAAAGTTTGTTTTTTACCAGGAGTCTTTATTTATTTATTTATTTTTTTGATGCTGCAGCAAGGCTATTTATTTTTAACACTTTTTGTATAGCTTCTGAAATTTTCTTTTTTTTTTTCCAGGGAATTTATATTTACATTTCAGAGTTGGGTAATTATGTGTATACACAGAGAGATATTCCATTGACTATAAATTCAAATGTGTACACTTTTCTACCATATTGTTTTTTTTTAATTAATAAATTTTATTTTTATATTCCCCATACAATTGCAATCCCCCCATTCTGACCCCAATCCCTCCCCTCCCGCCCCCCACCCCCCAAAAAGTGTCTCTGGTTCATAGTTTTTTGTTGATTTTGATTTTTCACTTTCTTATAGTTATTCATTTTGCTGGTCCCTTATTGAAGTTTTCTAGATTCCTGCTATGAGTGAGACCATCCGGTATTTTTCTTTTTCTTTTTGGCTTATTTCGCTGAGCATGATCCCTTCCAGCGTCATCCATGTTGCTGCAAATTGCATGTGTTTATCTTTTTTGAATGCTGAGTAATATTCCATGGTATATATGTACCACATCTTCTTGATCCAGTCATCTATTTTTGGGCATTTGGGCTGTTTCCAAAGCTTAGCTATTGTAAACAGTGCTGCTATAAACATAGGGGTGCAGGTGTTCTTTGGAATTGATGTTTCTGTGTCCTTTGGGTAAATACCTAGGAGTGGAATTGCTGGATCCTGTGGAAGCTCTATGTTTAGTAGGTCCAGAAATCTCCACACAGCTCTCCATAGTGGTTGGACCAGTTTGCACTTCCACCAACAGTGCAGGAGAGTTCCTTTTTCTCCACACCCTCGCCAACATTTGTTGTTGCTAGTTTTTTTAATATGTGCCATTCTCACTGGTGTAAGATGGTATCTCATGGTAGTTTTGATTTGCATTTCCCTGATGACAAGTGATGTTGAACATTTTTTCATATGCCTGTTGGCCATTCGCATTTCCTCTTCAGAGAAGTTTCTTTTTAGTTCCTCTGTCCATTTTTTGACTGGATTATTTTCTTTGTTGTTGTTGAGTCTCATCAGCTCTTTGCAGATTTTTGTGATTAGTCCTTTATCTTTAGTGTTGGGTGCAAAAATGTTCTCCCAGTTGGTGGGGTTTCTCTTTGTTTTTGTTATTGTCTCTTTTGCTGTGCAGAAGCTCTTTAATTTGATGTAGTCCCAGCTGTTTATCTTTGCCTTCACTATCACTGCTTTGGGTGATGTGTCTGTAAAGATGTCTTTGATGTGCAAATCCCGTAGTGTTTCGCCTATATTTCCTTCTATGTATTTTATGGTTTCAGGTCTTATGTCTAGTTCTTTAATCCATTTTGAGTTGATTTTTGTGTATGGTGTGAGGTAGTGGTCAAGCTTCATTCTTTTGCATGTAGTGACCCAGTTTTCCCAGCACCATTTATTGAACAAACTTTCTTTGCTCCAATGCATAGTATTTGCTCCTTTGTCAAAGATTAGTTGACGATAAATCTGTGGGTTTATTTCTGGATTTTCTATTCGATTCCATTGGTCTGTATGTCTGTTCTTGTTCCAATACCATGCTGTTTTGATGATTATGGCTTTGTAGTATAGTTTGAAGTCTGGGCATGTGATGCCTCCATTCCCTTTTTTTTTCAGGAGAGCTTTGGCTATTCGGGGTTTTTTGTGATTCCATATGAATTTCATCAATAATTGTTCTATTTCTTTGAAGAATGACATTGAAATTTTGATTGGAATAGCATTGAATCTGTATATTGCTTTTGGTAGGATGGCCATTTTAATAATGTTTATTCTCCCAATCCATGAGCAGGGGATGTCTTTCCATTTCTTTGTGTCTTCTTCTATTTCTTTTAACAGTGTTTTATAGTTTTCTTTGTATAGGTCCTTTACCTCTTTTGTTAGATTTATTCCCAAATATTTGATTTTTTTGTTTCAATAATAAAAGGGATGTTTTTTTGATTTCTTCTTCTTCAGATTTATTGTTTGTGTATAGGAAGGCTACTGACTTTTGCGTGTTGATTTTGTATCCTGCCACTTTACTGAACTGATTGATGTGTTGAATTAGTTTTTCTGTGGAGTTTTTGGGGTTCTCTATGTATATTATCATATCATCTGCAAATAGTGATAGTTTGACTTCTTCTTTTCCTGTTTGGATTCCTTGGATGTCTTTCTCTTGTCTTATTGCTCTGGCTAGGACTTTCAGTATTATATTGAAAAGCAGTGGTGAAAGTGGACATCCTTGTCTTGTTCCAGATCTTAATGGAATTGCTTTCAGCTTTTCACCATTGAGAATGATACTGGCTGTTGGCTTGTCATATATGGCCTTTATGATGTTGAGGTATGTTCCTTGTATCCCAAGAATTTCAAGGGCTTTTATCATGAATGGGTGTTGCACTTTGTCGAAAGCTTTCTCAGCGTCTATTGATATTATCATATGGATTTTATATTTCTTTTTGTTGATGTGTTGGATAACGTTGATTGATTTTTGGATGTTAAACCATCCTTGTGTCCCTTACCAGGAGTCTTTAATTACCATTCCCTCTCCCCTGGCTCTCCTAGATTCTTTTCTTGACCCTGCATGCTTAGAAATGGGATAATGGTGATCCCTGGTTCAGGACATGGTTTCAGTACTGGTTCATGCCAGGACCTCATGAATATATCCTCTTATATCCTTGAGTAAGGTGTGTGTGTGTGTATATGTTGATATATATCTATATATATTTCTTCATTTATTTGTATTCAATTGAGTTCCCTTTTTATCCCCAGTCCCCTCTGGATTATTTTCCAATCAGGTGTGATTACATTTTAAATGAACCCAATAAGTATTTTCTAATGGAATAAAAAAGAGCTTGACATATAAACTTTAATCTTTAAGCTTTAAGCTCTCATAAATAATTAGATTTATTTTCTAATATTTTTAGATCACTAAAAGCAATAAAGAAAAGTTTTATTGTGATAATGTTTTAAAAAGTAGATCAACATTACATGTTTTCAAGAGATCATTTGTAATCCCATGATAATCTCTTTCATATGAGCACATTCCTCTTTGCAGAGAACATGCCTGGGAGAAACAATTAGAGTTAATTCAATTAGAGTTAACAATTATTAAATATCTCTTAGTTTCTAAGATGATCGACTTATTCCATCCTTGACAATCTTATGATTTGCTTACTTTATAAGTGTGCAAATTGCAAGGTCAAATAACCCACACAAGGTCACACAGTTAGTTAGTGGTCAAAATCAAAATCAAGTCCAGATTTGACTCCAAAACTCACATTCATCACACTCTCGTTGACTTTCTGGTCTGTCATCACCAAACCTTACCTGCTATATTGTATTGTTTTTTCTCTTAGTGGACGAGTGTTCGTCTGACTACACAATTGTGCTTCCGGTGATTGGGGCCATCGTACTCGGTCTCTGCGCTGTAGGTTTGATTGTCTATGGAATCCGCCTAAGGCGTGAATCATCTGGATACCAGAGAATCTAATTGGTTCCCAAGGGAAAAGAAAATACTGGAGTTTAGAGGATTGTTTTATTGTTTCGGGGTTGTTGGGAATTTCTCTTAAGCGTGTGGGTCTTTCCAACACTGTAAACTGCTGGCAACAACCGAGTCATTTCTGATTTAAGTTGAAGCAGTATATTAATTTCTTAATGTTTTGTGTTCATTTTATAAAAGGCTTAGTGAGATGTTTAAGAGTATTTTCTATAGTTTCCTTCAAAATATTTTCGCTAGCATAAACATGTGAGATATATTAAATTAGCATAATGGATATTAAATGGACTATGCCTCCAAATTATAAACCAGAGCATCTATTGTAATTATCGCTCCTTGTGTTCACAAATGGAATTTTATTTTACCCTTGGGTAGTTTCCATTTTTAAAAAAAGGCTCTGCTTTGTCTACAGGATGGATTTCAGGTTTTTCCTATCCATGTTTTATATGGTGACCCACTTACCTCTTTTTTTCAACTTCAAATATTTTAAAAATATCATTGAAAAGAACAGGTTATCTAGGCTTTGATGTCACAACAACAAGAAAAATGAATCAGCTTATAGTTTTTATCTTGCTTACACCTGCTCCAAAATCACTAAGAAGTAGTTGCCTAGAGACCACAAACCCAAAAATAAACAAGAAATAATGGTAATAGTCCTTATTGAATGCATATGTGCCAAACAGGCAGTTTATATACATCTCATTTCATCCTCAAACCCTATAGATGAGTAAATTCAGACTTAAGGAAATTCGCCCCTTAAATGTTACCTACCTAACCAGTATCAGAGCCACCAGACCTCCTCTCAGTCTGAGGTGTCCTGTCTTTTCACTACACCAATTACCTACAAAACGCCATTAAGTATTGTCTGAAGCCTCCAATAGTGTATGCTCCATTTTTACAGAGGAAATGAATTTATTCAGAATCATGAGAGATTAGGACAGAGGAGGGGAGCAACTATTGACAATGAAATAACCTATTTTAATAAAATTCTCTATTCCCTTTAAGAAGACTGAGGGACTCTGTAGAAAATTAGTTTCTCATTTGTATGGGATTGTTTAGCTGTGGCTCTAAAGACAAAGGAATGAAGAAAACTTCTAAAGTTGTTTTGATTTGCTTTGGTTTGGTCTTTTACTTTGGAAACAATTTCTAACCACCAACTTTCCGTTATTGAATACAGAGCTCCCTCTTGTGGTATCTTGCTGCTTCTGCAATTTTTAGCCGCACCCATTCTACTTCACTTTCTTCGTTAGAGTAGCCTGCCAAGATTTTTCTTCTTCCTTGTTTTTACTACTACAGAAAGGAACTAAGTTAGGACATCGAAGGTAAGATCACATACTCCTAGCTTTCTTTAATAGAAGAATAATTCAAGTCACCCCAGAGTACATACTGACTTCCCGACTTGTTCTCTGTTGAATCAATAAAGTTGGCAAAATTTTGATTTTAGTCTTAAGAATACATTGAATTGTATTAAAAGTTTTTATAATAAAAGTTTATCTTTGTGATTCATTAATGTCATTCATTTCTTATACTTCAGTTTTCCTGCTATTGTTGTAGAGCTACCCCGATACAAAACGGGGTGCCTGACTGTGGGTCCTCACCCGCGCGCTTAAAAGGACTTATCAATGCTCTACTGCAGGCACACGTGAAAGGTTAATAAAAGGTTTATTTACAAGGGAAGGGGAAATGAGGAAATGGACAGCTCTGAGAGAAAAGTGGGAGACAAAGTTTTAAATGAGTCCTACCCGATCCGCAGATCAGGAATCCCAAAATGGCGCTCTGAGAGCTGGCCACCAGCCAGGAGCCGTGAAGCCAGGAGGCGAGCAATCGCAAGCCGGAGAGAGCCCAAGGCCCACGTGTTTGGTTTTTATATCCAACCTGGCTACCCAACTCCACCCTCAGGTCCCAGCCACCCTCCCTTGGTGGTGATGGGATTTGTCTTTCCCAAGGTCTTAATGGCTTTAGTCTGGAGTGGGGGTGGAGTCCACAAAGCCTGTATGGGATTAACTCAGGACATCATTTCCCCCTCACACTATAAAAATTTTTATGATTTTAGCAGTAGCCCTTTAATATTAAGGTTGTCATTTGAATCAATAAGTTAAATAATCTTGTGAATAATTTATTTTATCCTATTCTCCATTGTCAGAATATTACTAGGTAAGAAGACCCTATGTGAGAGAAACTAAAATTATAAGATGATTAATCACATTAAATTTACAAACTAAATCTTTCAACTCTACCTCAGAAAGACTCATTCAGATTACTTGTTTATGTGCTGCCACAATTCACTCATTCATTCATTCACTCACTCACCCATGCATTCAACTAATATTGACTAAGGACTTACTAAATGCCAAATACTCTGATAGGGATTAAAATAAATAACAAGAGGTCTTATATTAATTATCTTTAGCTGTATAACAAATTACCCCAAAACCTAGCAACTTTAAACAACAAACATTTATTATCTACACTTTATTATCTACATTTATTTCTGAGGTCCAAAAATCTGGGCACAGTTTAGGTGGGTGATTCTGGCTCAGAATTTCTCATCAGGTAGCACTTAAGCTTTGGCCAGGGCTGCAGTCATCTGAAAGTCCAATGGGGGCTAAAGTTCACAGCAAGTGGCATATCCATATGGATGCTTACAATATGACAGCTGGCTTTCTCCAGGGTGAGTAATTCAAGAGAGAGAGACAGACCACTTAATCACAGAAGTAGTTAGGTGACACACCATCATGACTATATATCTTATTGATTCATGGACTGCAGAAGGGTGTGATTACTAGTAGAAATTGAAGTCAATGGGCACCATCTTGGATAATGGCTACCCCAGGTCCATTGTCAAGGTGAACATTATTGAATCACTGGTTTACTTTTGGGGGAACTCAGGTAAATAAATTCCGGTTTGCACACCAAGAAAAGTGCCTTCATAAGAACTTATACAAAGGGTAATGGGAGCAGGGTCCTGTCCAACCTGCTTCCAACTTTGCCTCATTGTAACACATACTCAGGAGAGCAGCATCTCAAACCCTTGTGTTGATAGTCAGTTGACCAGTTGCTGCTTAGGCTGACTTGCCTTTCCATGCAGGCTGGTGGTTGTGCCATTGCTCTAGAGTAGTAAGGTCAGGACCCACCTTCCCAAAGGCAAGTAACCAGGATAACACCCACCACCTGCCCACCCTGCCCCCACTTTGTTTTTTCTTCTCAGACAAAACAACTCATCTGTGGGCTCTAATCCATCACACTCCAAAGTCTCTACTTCCTGCCACTCATCTGTTCTCTTTTGTCTTCTTTCCTGGTTTTTCTGCTTTCCTCTAATTCTCTAAATATAGCTAGGGTTCTCCAAATAAGAAGAACCATCAAGAGATATAAATTTTTATACTGCAGGTGTATGTACTTTATATGTATAATTATAAAATTAAATAACATACAGAATATGTTAAATTATATGTTGACATGTAACATAAAATGATAAGTGTATATTACATTAAATGTTATATTTTATTTTGTATCATATATGTGCATGAATATACATATATATAAAATTTTAAACCTGGAAACTAAGGAAGAAGTTAATAGCAGTCTTTAAACAGAATTGTTTTTTCTCTGGAAAGCTTCAGTGTTTCCTCCAAAGCTTTCAACCGATTGAATGAGGCTAACTCACATTATTGAGAGTTGAGGCTACTCTAAATTCAACTGATTGTAGATATTAAAATATTAACCACATGTGCAAAATATCTCCATAGCAATATCTAGACAGCTATTTGATGAAATGACAGGCAACTATAGCCCAAACAAGTTGACATATAAACTAAACATCACATAACTTTCCTCACAAAGTTCTCACTGCAGCCATCTTTTCCCTATGCTCTCCTTCCATGATTCACAAGACAGGGCAACAGGTATATCTCAAACCCAACCTACTGAAAGAAAACAAAAGTCTTGATCCCCACCTTTCACTCAATTCATCACCCATTTTCTCTTACTGGTCACCCAATTTTGATTCTAAAAACTTTGGAGGCTTCCTGCTCCCTTATCTTCTCTGTTCAGCCCACCAGCAAGACCTGGCAGCTATGGTAGTTACAAAGACATTACTTGGCAGAACACAGGTGAAAGCATCCCTACCTATATTAGTCACTGGGCATAGAAAGGGGACCTGGTTATGATTAACTTGTGCTGACCCCTCAGCAGGACAATGAGAGACCAGGGACTGTTAACAAGCATTTATTTGCTAAGTTGGAGAGTTGGGGAGCCTCTGTGAGCTTACCAAATACGCATTACCGCTCACTGAGGCAAGGTAAACACATTTCTGAGCAGCAGGTAAAACAAAAAACCCATTTGGGTGTGTGTAGCACTCCAGACCCAGTGAATGCCCCAGACTAGACAGTCTGATGTGCTAAGGGCAGGGTCCTGGTGGGAAAATCTTGGATACAGAGATGGACATTGACTGATGATACTAACTCTGCAAAACTCTGGAATCTCTGAGATTTCTGGTGTCCCCTTTCCTTCCTGGAAGATGCTGCTGAAACCCCCTTATTCACAAGGCAAGATGAAATTACTGCAGGAGTTGCCCCATCTCCTTTCCAGCTGCCAGGCTGAGAACTAGGGTAAAATCTCAGCTGAGGGCCTCCCTGGTGGCACAAGGGGTTGAGCACAACACTGTGAAGCTGTTTGTAGCCTCTGTAGTGCGAGTTTGATCCCCAGCAGGCCAAGGAGCTACACACATGGCACAGCTGACCTCTCCTGCCTCACCCACTGCTCCCCTCATCAGTGTATTTCAGTCACTCTGCCTGTTCTGTTCCCCGCTCTGTCTCTGGTGAATCCTCTCACCCCCTGCATCTCTGGCCTGTGCCCCAGTTCTTGTATGCATAAATAAATAAATATTTTTTAAAAATCTCAGCTGAAGACATGCTGGACCTAATAAGGCGGCAGATGCTATAGGTTAAGAGAATCTCAGGATGTAGCTGACATGTACAGGCAGGAGCCAATATTTTGGGATTGGATTTAAAAAAAAAAAAAGATTTATTTATGCATACAAGAGCTGAAGTACAGGCCAGAGATGCGGGGGTGAGGTGGGTGGGGTGGGTGGGGTGGGTGGGCTGTGAGAGGATTCACCAGAGGCAGTGGGGAACAGAACAGACAGATTGACCGAAGTACACTGCTGAGGGGAGCAGTGGGGTGAGTCAGGAGAGGTCTGCTGTGTCATGTGGGTTGCTCCCTGTAGGACTGGGGATCAAACTTTTGCTGCAGAGGCTGCAGATTGCTTCATAGTGCGGTGCTTAACCCCCTGCACCACCAGGGAGGCCCCCCTGGGATTGGATTTTTTTTTTTTTTTTTTTTGTGGGACCCTCGCTGCGGCCGGACCCAGCGCTCAACCGCTGCCCCACCAGCGGAGGTCCTGGGATTGGATTTTTAAATGCTTAACCAAATGGACCAGAGTGTGAGTCTGGATGAGCATGAATTCTTTGACTTGAATATAGATTCTTAAAATCTTGTACTTAACACCACAGGAAGGTGTTCTTCCCTGACTTGTAACTGTGGTGCATGTAACCATTTGAAAAAGGAGGAAAAATCAAAGTAGCTTATAGATCAGTTAGCCTGGGATATGGATACAAACTAAAACTGGAGAGTGGCTATATTGTAGCCACATTCAGAAGTGAACCTGACAGTGCGGAAAGAAAATTTTCCCAATGGTATGGCAGTAAGTTGATCATATGTGTGTGGGTTTATTCTGGGCTCTCCAGTGTGCTCCATTAGGTTCTTCATATTCATTGATTTTTCTCTTGAATTATAGAGGTTTTCTCTTGTTGATTGATTGGCGTTATTTATATATTAAGGAATGTAGCCTTTCATCTGTGGTAAGAATTCTGAAATTATTCCCAGTTTACTGGGTTTTTTCCTACATGTATATTTTGTTGTGTTTTTTTTTTTTTTTTTCAGTATATGGTTGAATTTGTGTGTGTGTGATCTAGACTTAATAGCATGGGAGTGAACTACTCTTTCACATTTTAGTGGAATTTTCTTGTGAGAGAAAGTGGGCCACAAGATTTGGGGGTGCAGTAAAGGTGAAAAGTGAGGATATTAGGAAAACTAGTTCTTTGATAATCACATTCTCTAGATTTGTTTTATTAGTTTTTTTTGTCTGTTTCATGAACTGTTTTGGTAAATTGCATTTTGTTCTAACATTATCCATTTCATCCAGGCTTACAAATATATTTGCTTAAAGTGGAGTAAAATTAGTCTCTTGCAAGTCTATAATTTGTTTTCTATGTCTGTAACTTTTCTTCTCTTATGCTTTTTTTTTTAGTTACCTTTTTTTTTAAATGAGGGTTTTTTTTTTTTAAGATTTATTTATACAAGCACTGGGTACAGTCAGAAGCGCAGGAGGGTGAGAGAATTCACCAGAGTCAGAGTGAGGAACAGAACATATAGACTAAGAAATGCGCTGCTGAGGGGAGCAGCAGGCAGCAGGGGAGGTCTGCACCCATGTGGGTCCCTCGCCGGTGGCCGGAGATGGAACTGGCGCTGCAGAAGCTGCGGGCAGCTTTGCAGGCCAGTGCTCAACCGCTGCGCCACCAGGGGAGGCCCCTTTTATGCTTTTTTATTGTGGCAAGTTTGTATTTCTCCCTTCTTATTCGATTAACTGTTTTTACTATTTCTTCCTGAGCCTCTGAATTTGTGAGGACTTTAATTTTCTTAATTCATTAATTTCTTATTTTACCTTTACTAATTCTTCCCTGATGCTTATTTTTTTCTAATGTTTCAACTGAATGATTAATTTGCTTTTATTGAATTTTCCTGTGAACCCCATTTTAGCTATACCAAATAAACATTTGTATGTAGTATTTCCCATGTCTTTATTTTCTAGATGTTCTGCAGTTTTAGTTTTTGACTTTCTCTTCTATCCAATGGTCAATTAAGACTATTTTGAAAGCTCAGGTAATTTTGGCTTTTGAATTTTTGTTTAGTTTTTATTTTTTTGGGAGAGCACCAATTTTATTTTAGGTTGCATATTCTAGAAAAAAGACTAGAAAGAGGGGCCTCCCTGGTGGCGCAGCGGTTGAGCGCTGGGTTGCGAAGCTGCCCGCAGTCTCTGCAGCACTGGTTCTATCCCCGACTGCTCCCCAGCCACCAGAGGAGGGTCCCACATGGCGCGCAGACCTCTCCTGCCGCCCGCTGCTCCCCTCAGCAGTGTACTTCGGTCCTTCTGCCTGCTCTGCTCCCCGCTCTGACTCTGGTGAATTCTCTCGCCCTCCCGCGCTTCTCACTGTACCCAGTGCTTGTATGAACAAACAAATAAATAAATAAAACATGCCTCTAAAAAAATAAATAAAAATAAAATAAAATAAAAAGACTAGAAATGTTATAGGACAGGGAGAGGGGCAGCCCAAACCCTGCAAACCTGCCTATTCTAAATGGGTTTTGCCATCCACCGCATCAACACAAAACATAGGAGACTTTAATGGGAAGGAACTTTAATAAAACTAGGAAACAATACAGGTAAGGCAAAGAGTCTAGTTTCTAAATGAAGCACCCAAAGTTACCCGTCCCCTCGTGGGTAAAAGTCCATCCATATGGGATTGGCCCAGAACAAGGCCCCAAATCCTGCCACAAGTCTAAAGCATCTTCCAGTGGGGACCCACAGAAAAGGGTCAGAAACAACCGGACAAGCCCGGAAGGAAAAGAGCAAAATCAACATCAAGATAAAAGCTGCCATTGTCACCTCCCCACGGGTCTCACCCACATCTGTGTCACCCAGTCCACGACCAAAAGACAAGCGCAGTTTCTTCACGTGTCTCTAGGCTCCATGCGCCTCCTCCAGGTCTCCTGGCTCCATCCTGCTTCCTTCCTCAGTCTCTTCTGCAGCTTCTCCTCTTCCTGCTCAGCTCCACCCTCCCTTGGGTGGGGCAGGGAACCTCCCCCTTTCCTGGGGCCCACCCTGTTACAGAAAGAGGATGTAGAATGTAGTGCAGGAATAAGTTGGAAGAAAAAAATGAGATAGTAGCAAAGATGTTAGTGTGGATCCAGCAAGTACCATTAATTTAAAAATTATAAATATTTGTCATTATGCTAAGACTTGCCATTTTCAGATGGAGTATTTTTATTTTTGAGGACACTGGAGAAATCTGCCTCTTATTCTCCAGCCTATTTGACCTTTTCCCCATGACTCCACCGCCTTCACGTCCTAGCCGCTTTGATGATGAATAAGGATCACGAAGAGGGTTCCTCCCCAAGAACCTGGACGACTAGGAAGCATCTCGCGTACCAAGAAATAAAGAGAGATCCGGAGCCACACTTGCTGGAAAAGAAGACTCAGGCCACCTCTCCCCCAGTAGGCGCCTTTTCCAAGAGGCGTGGGAGACCCGGGCCGCACCTCCGCGGGTCTGCGTCCCGCTCAGCCAATCACCGCTAGGAACGCCGTAATCTGCTCTTTGATTGGTCCTGGCGGCGACGCCCCCAACAGCACCAGGAAGGGCCTATTACTTTGCTTTGACCTGGACGGTGGCCGGCAGAGGACAATAGCCTCGCGAAGCGGAGGCAAGGCTTTGCAAGGTGTGGGACGCAGCTGGTGTGCGCTGGGCTTGGAGAGCGGCGGGGCTTCAGGCAAATGGCAGCGGCATCTGCAGCATCGGTGCTGCTGGTGGCGGCGGAGAGGAACCGGTGGCAGCGTGTCCCGAGCCTGCTGTTGACACCCAGGTAATGGTGGGAGCAGGGTGGTAGATCGATGTGCAGGGGCGGGGATGGAGGTGTGTGGGCGCGAGGTGAGAGGTACGGAGTCGGGAGAGATGTCAGAAGAAAAGGACCCCCCAATTCTTTTCGGAGGGTTCTGCTTCAGTTTCGGCTTTGAGGCGGAGACCAGCGCACACCCAGCCCTTCCTCTTCTGCCTCCTTTCAAATTTGCGTACAAGAGCTTGTGACAAAACAGCTTCACAACCCAGTAAAAGGTGAATTCACGTTTTGTTAACGTGATTCATTCCAACATTGAAATCCACCCTTCAGCCCTCCTTTTGCCTCGCTAATCAGTTATAGGAGGGGGGAAGAGGGAGGAAGGGTGTGGAGCTGGAACTGCCAACTCCAAGTTCCTTCACCTCCTCCCTTATCCCTCCTCATGCCACTGACATTTGCTTAGTTCCTAAGCCCCAGGGCAATCCCTGTGTGCGAGCAGTTTTAAGCCCAAAGGAGTCAACAACTTGCCTTTGTTAAACAAGTTGTAAGAGATGGAGCCAGGTCACCCTGAAACCTGTTCAGTTTCCCTATCCCCCAGTTCCTGAGAAAGACTCCTGGAATTCTTTTTCAATGTTGGAATGAATCAAGTTAACAAATGAATTCACCTTTTAGTGGGCTGTGAAGCTGTTTTGTCACAAGCTCTTGTATGCAAATTTGAAAGTTTGAGCAAAGCTATTGCTCACTCTCGATAACCTGACTCAGGAGCAGTTCAAATTTTGAGCTGTAAGCTTTGGTGACAGTGACTTTGAAGAAGCAGCCGTTTTACTGTTACACCTACCCAGGAATCTTATCAGAAACTTATCTGATAGAACAGATAATGAGCTAGAAAATGCCTTATAAAGTTCAGGGAAGATGATTTCCTCCTTGAAAATAAGAAAGTAAGGTCAGATGAATTGGAAAGGTGTAAGTAAGCAGCAGCCTTCTGATGAAATCATTTTGTTGGATTCAGGCGACAAAACTGTGGGTCTTCCCATCAACCCTTCATGACAGCAGCATCTACTTGAGTGTGTCAAGGCACTGAGTGTGTGGGGGTCTCTATGTAATCCTGCTGGCTGCATCTTTGCCCCAGAGAAATGCTAGTCTTGTTCAGTTAAATGCTTGTATACATAGTATTGATACCGGAATTGTCAGGCCTAGTCTCTCAGCCAGGAATGGATCCCAGGCTGCAGGGCAGCACTGAGCCCCGGCCACTAGACCCCCACGGGTTGGTGTCTCATGAAGCCGCAGCAGGGACTTCGCAGACGCTCAGGCAAGCAAGCAAGAAGAGGCAGGTCAGGTTTGTTTAGAAGAAAAAGTTTATTGAGAAGGAAAAGAGCAGAAATAAAGTGGGACTCCCAGGCCAGGGAACCAGGCCTGGGAGGGGCAAGGAAGCCAAAGTAGAGTCGTGTCTTAGGGAATATATACCTTTTTTTCCCCCTCATTATTCTAAAGCTGCCCCAGTCTCTTTGTGATTGGTTAGTTCTCGGCTGTCTCACTTAATTTGCTACTGAGTGGGGATCTTCATATTCCTTATCTAACAGCTTTCTCTTTCCCCATTTGTTGCATCTTTAAATTTATGGCCCAGTCTCCTGGATGGGCATCCCTGCATTGAAGTTAAACAGCTGCCCTTCTAATGTGACCATAAATTAAACCACTCTCCATTTCTCCAATCTCCGCCTCCCTTTACCACCTGAAGGAAACCAGGACCAGCATTAACAATGTTGTCCTTGGTCCTGGCATGTTTGTTTTTCCTAATGGAATGGGTTACTTTCCCTTGCTTGTCCTTATCTCTGAAGCCTCCCTAAATTTTTCAGAGGTCCCCTCCTGCACTATCCCTAAAACTGCCTAATAACCCTAGCTTGCCCTGTCTCAGTATGTACATATTATACATATATCATTACATAGTATCTAATCTGCATTGTGCTTTTTAGGGCTTGTTATTTAGAGGATCTAAAGTGGTTAGTCCTTTACAACCATAGTTTTGCCAAGTCTTCCAGATATGCATAGAAAAGACTCAGGTGAAATTGCTTCTACAGTTTGATAGTTGCTCAGCTTATTCTTAGCTGACATCTAATGAACATTGTGTTTTTTTCCCCCCACGAATCTGGCCTGCTCTCTGTCAGCTCTTGGTTAAAGTTTCAGTGTTAATTTATTGCATTAGTAAATAAGACAGAACTTAAACATTGTTTAGCTCTCCTCCCATAACTGCCTTAGGTGATCTCAAAATAGTTTCACTATTCTCTTGGCCCAGGAAACCCTACAAAATTATGCCAGGCTAAAGGTTCAAACCTTCATGTTCATTTTAAGAACACTTGTGAAACTGCCCATGCTCTCAGGGCATACACATACAAAAAGCCACCGAGTATCTGAAGGATGACGCTCCACAGAAGCAGTCTGTGCCATTCTGATGTTACCTTGGTGGCATCAGTAGGCCACACAGTGGTATTGAACAGAAAGGGTCAGTGGCCCAAAAAGAATACTGAATTTTGACTGCACCTGCTTTAAAATGCCAAATTCAGAAATGCTGAACTTAAGAGTTGAGATGTAGATTCTCTGGCTATTGAGCACATCCAGGTGAACAAAGCCCCCAAGATGCAGTACAGAATTTACAGAGTTCATGGTCAGGTTAACCCCTGCATGAGCTCTGCCTGCTACATCAAGACAATCCTTCCTGCAAAAAGAGCAGATTGTTCCTAAAATAGAAGAGGAGGTTGCACAGAAAAAAGAAATTGAAAAAGCAAAGAGTTATACCACAGAAATAATTTCAGAATAAAATAAATGCAAGTGAAAGTAAAAACAGAAAAAAAATTCTTAGTCCTTAATGAATTTCTATCTTAAGACAACTCTAGTGATTTAGTCTCTCTGTTTCTCTGTTACTTATTAATGCAAGAACTCAGACTAAACTTGTATGCTTTTAAAACTGAGAAGTAGGGCCTCCCCAGTGGCGCAGCAGGTTGAGCACAGTGCTGTGAAGCTGTCCACAGCCTCTGCAATGCGGGTTCAGTTCCCGGCCTGCTAGGGAGAGACCCTTGTGGTGCAGCAGACCTCTCCTCTCTTGCCCGCTGCTCCCCTCAGCAGTGTATTTTGGTCAGCCTGCCTGTTCTGTTCCCCACTCTGTCTCTGGTGAACTCTCTCACCCTCTCACGCCTCTGGCCTGTACCCCGGTTCTTGTATAAATAAAAAAATGAAAAAAAAAAACCTGACAAGTATGGCAAAATCTTATTTCTTAGTAAGTTTTCTCATTAAGAGGTAATAATGAAAAAAATATTGAGAAATACTGACATAAAGTGACTTTCTGGGGTTCCCAGCAGTCGGTGGGTAGGGACTCTTCTTGATCCCCACAGCCAACATTCTTCCTGCCATCCTTGTGTAGATATTTCCCTTTACTTCTCTGAGCTTCAGTGTTCAAACCTGATTTATCAAGGATTGATTCAATCAGTGCCTTTCAAAGTTTAGTTTGATCAGCATTTTAATAAAATGGAATCATATAGAAAGTATCCAAACATAAGAAAACCCTTGTGTGTGTACTTGGTTGTGAAGTCAAATATAGTTTTTACTTTGGGTTCTAGTCAAAAAAATTTGGGAAAAAATTAACTAGATGATCTTGAAATGCCTTGATTTTCTTTTTTTTTTTTTGAGAGAGATTTATTTTTATACAAGAACTGGGAGGTGCGGGAGGGTGAGAGGATTCACCAGAGATAGAATGGGGAGCAGAACAGGCAGACAGACCGAAAGCACTGGTGAGGGGAGCAGTGGGCGTGACAGGAGAGGTCTGCCGTGCCATGTGGGAATCTCCCTGGTGGGCTGGGAATCAAAACAGTGCCCAAAGGCTATGGACAGCTTCACAGTGCTGCACTCAACTTGCTGCACCACCCGGGAGGCCCCGAAATGCCTTGATTTTCTACACATCTCTGGCTTGTGGTCATATGCCAACTTCAGGAATAAGCAGTTTAAGTGATTTATCCAAGAACATGTTGTACCTGGGGGAACAGCCAGAGCTGTAACTTTTGACTTCTATTGTTTAACTAAGGTCATATCTGGATTTAGTTTCAATTTTTTTAAAAGATTTATTTATGCATACAAGAGCTGGGGTAGATGCCAGAGGTGTGGGAGGTGAGATGATTCACCAAAGACAGAGCTGGGAACTGAACAGGTAGACTGATTGAAATACACTGCTGAGGGGAGCAGTGGGTGAGACAGGAGAGGTCTGCCACGCCATGTGGGTTGCTCCCTGGCCAGCTGGGGATCGAACTCTTGCTGCAGAGTCTGCAGATTGCTTCATAGTGCGGTGCTTAATCCCTTGCACCACCAGGGAGGCTGAGGTTTCAGATTTTTTTTTTTTTAGTATAGTCTTTTGAAAGAACAACAGTGAATCTTACATATCCTGTTTAAATTATAATTCCATTTGGATTCATTTTTTAGGAGATGGACATGGAAGCAAAGAACCATGAAGTATGCAACAACCACAGGTACTAAGTCTTTGTTGCTACTTGGCTTTGCTTGTGAACTAAGTAACTACTAATTAATGTTTACTCCCTTAATTTGTGTATCTTAGATTGAATGCTTATATACTTTTGAATTTTGGTCTTTTCATGATAATTTGCTCAGTAAATACTGAGTTATAGTTTTCACCTCTTTTATGTTCTTGCTTTTGAGTTTAAAATGTATAGAGAAATAACTGAGACATTTTGATTTATGCCATCATCTCTGCCTATCTGACCCCATTAGTATTTTGACTTGGAAAAGCATGACAATGAATGGTGTCAGTGCTTTAAAACAGTCCTTTTAAGTAGCAGAATCTTTTTTTCAAATAAAATTTTACATGGAATTCCCAACTACAAAAACATATAAAAGTATAATTTTTAGTTGATTGTATGTAGCCTCTCCCCCCATACACATGCACGCATACTTATCCTAGTGACCCACGTCCTGTAACAACCCTTAGGCCTACAAATGTCAAAGAACATTTATATATGTGATGATGAAAGTATGTTTTATTATATAAATACAAAAGCATATCATGGCACCAATGCCAGGAACAGGCTCAATGCTTATTTATATTGCAAGAGCTGCATATCCCTATGTACTAAGTGATAGAGGCAGTGGGGCAGAGTTCTGGAGTGAAGCCAGTCTGGATTCAAATCCTGGATCCATTATGTCTTTTAACTGTGTACTTTCCAGAAAGTATTGTCTCTTTCAGTCTTAGTTTCTTATCTACTTTATAGGATTACTGTGAGGATTTAACTCCTCAGATTGAGTCTTTTTGAGGTCGTGGGGCATACAAATAACTCACTTTTGTGAGTTATTAGTAACTGGGATATTTGGGGGTTTTCTTTAGGTTTTATAATTTAATCTTTGGCATAACAGAGCATCTCTTCATTTTATTTTAAGTTGAAAACTGAGTAGTTTAAAGATTTTTGTTAATCAAAGTATCTTGAATTTCAGTGTGAAGAAAGCTGCAACTGTTTAATATTAATTAAAATGGTTATATTAGACTCTGCTATGCTGATGTTAGCAAAACAAGTGTTTATTAGTTGTTAACTGTCAGAGAATATTTTTTATTCTCATTCCTTGTCACCAGTAACATTTGTGTTTCATTTTCATGGTGTTTTAAACAGGACGAAACATCACTAAGGTCCTTATTGCAAACAGAGGTGAAATTGCCTGCAGGGTGATGCGAACAGCCAAGAAAATGGGTGTACAGTCTGTGGCTGTTTATAGTGAAGCTGACAGGAATTCCATGCATGTAGACATGGTACGTTGTTAAAACCTGGAAATCAAATGTTGTAAGTGATTGTATTTGTTTATTGTTAAGTCAGTTTTAGATCTTTATGTTGACATTTGTAGATGCTAATGTTATCAGTGTTTAAGTAGATAAGTTCAGAATCTCACTAGTACATTTTCCAGACATAATACCAGTTGAACTAAATAGTGTGCTTTGTTGTATAGTTGACTTATATCAAAGACTCTGTCTCATCATGGGTTGGTGAAAACTGTTCACAGAATGTAAATGATCCCAAGCTCTCTTTCAGTGACACATGTCCAAATCCCTGATATACCAAGAGAAGGGAGAGGGTTCCAGTCTTAGCAATACTATTTACTGGTCAAGGGATCTTAGACAAGTTATTTAATGTTTCCGAGCTTCAGCTTAACTGTGAAGTCATAACTGAAAGGGCCCTATTCCCCTGAGGTTGTGTTATCTATTAATACTAGTTACATATTTAAACACGAGACAGAGCCCAATTGTTGACCTTCTTAATGCCTGGAGCAATACTCCCAGCAACTGACATAAAATTCTTTGTGACCAGCTTCTCCTGGTTTTTCAGCACTGCCCAGCAAACCCATTGACTCTTACTTTTCTTTCTTATTCTGTTCCATGACTCAAACCTGTTTTACTCCATTCTCACCTTTAACTCTCCTTCTACCCACCTATTCTCAACATGTGATCTGATTTCACAGAAAAAGATAAAACTGAACTTCCTACCACAGAGTGTGCTTGCCTGTATTGTATCTTACGCTCGTCCTTTCTTAGGCCTATTGTATACCTGTGCTCTGACTCCTCTCACCTTTTAAAGAATCCTCCATATTTTCTTTTATCACTGTAGTCTCTCATTTCATCTACTCCTGTGACTTTGCTGAACTTCACCCTCCCATCTATCTGAGACTTTATTTTGGGGATGATACATCCAACTGCTCACTCAACATCTATCTATAACTGGATGTATCACAAGTACCAAGCTAATATGGCTGACTTGAACTCATGACCTGTCTTCTGTTCTAAACCTGCTTTTCTTACAGATTTACCCCACCTGGTAGATGGCAACACCATTGCTTATAAAAATAATGCCAGAGGTCTAGGAGACTTACGAGACTTTGAATATATCTTCCTCATTTTTCCCACTGTACAGCCTTTACCTCCCTCCATCTAGGTGAGCACCAAGTGCTAGTCCATTTCCCAAACACTTTTCATTCTTTCAGCTCTCTACCACTTGTACTTTAAGGTCAAAGTGAGTATCATTTCTTACCATTCAAATGCTATCTCCTCATACAAGGCCTTCCTCCTTCCACTCTTGACCCCTTCTCACATTTCCCCAAATGATAGTTTAAAATAAAAATTGTTACTCCTCTGCTTTAATGCTTTAAACTTTTTTTCTGATCCACCATACTAGTAATAGTTGAAAAAGACAAAAGGAAAGGTATTCAATATTGGTTAATGTGGTAAGAAATTAGTGTGTTGGTGGAAATGTGTTGGTGATATCATTTGAAGGAATAATTAATCAGGAATAACTAAAATTTCATGTCCTTTAATCCAGCTGTGCAAACATTCCTTTAGATCTCTCTCCAGAGACCTGTTTGTGCGTATGGATGTACAAGTAGAAGCATGTACTGAATTGCTGCCCACTTTAATATTTGCTCTTACAACCTAAATGACTATGAAGAACTTCATGATTAAATGAACTATGATATCTCCATATTGTAGGTATTATGCAATTGTTATAAAAAATGGGGCATACATGTTTATATAAATTTGTATCAATAAATAGAAATATGGATGTGTGAAAATATGCCCAGGTTGATCATAGAGGTTCTATCTGAAAGGGGCTTGTGATGAGGGAGGGGGCAGTGTCAAAATGCTCCTTTGCCTTGGAGTATTATTCACATTCTCTAGATGAAGAATGGATTTGTGCTTTGTGGAATTACAAATTAAAAAATTCACTTGAAAAAACTGATGTGTTCCCTTGGCGAAAAAATCCAAGCCTTTAACCAATCCCACAAGGTCTCTGAAATCTGTGCCCGCATCTGTCCAGCCAACACTGATCCCTGCCCTTTGCTTACTGTGCTCTAGTCACACAAACCTCCTTCATTTCTTCAAATGTACCAGGTTTCTTACCTCCTCAAGACCTTTTTTTCTGCCCCCTACCTCTATTCCCATTCCCAGCTCATCCCTCCCCCATTTGCCAGGCCAAGTCCTGATCATTCTGCAGGTATACCTTCCTTCCCAGTCTTTCCCTGACCACCTTCAGTCTTCCTCTTATGTGCAATATATTCTTTGTTTTTCCTTCCTGGCCTTTGTCACAGTTACCATTAAGTGTATGAATCTACATTTGGTGTCTGTATCTCTCTCTAGACAGGGACATTCATTTTGCTTATTGTGATGCAGACAGTTCCAAGCCTCAACACACAATACATAGCAAGCATTCAGTAAGTCTTTGAATGAAGTTTTCTGTCTTCTTCAAGGGATGCTTATGGTTGTGTGAAAGTTTAAAAGGAACAGTATAAGATCATCCACAAATGTATAAAAGGAACATTGTCACCATACTCTAATTATATAAACTTCAGTAAGCTTAATTTTATTTTTTGCTATACATATCTATTTCTTGTCAAATTGCAAATTTTTGATCTTAAACACATTTAAGGTTATTGTTGCTAATAATGATACCATGACTAATGCCTATTATTTTCTCTTAAGGCACTTCAGTTTCACTTAAGATTTATACATAAAAACAAGTATTGGCACTTTCTTCATGTAAATGATTCTAAGACTGACTTTGTAACATAGACGCTTCTCAATTCTTGAATTGTTTTTGGAGAGCCAGCATTTTATTTACACTAACAAAATGACCCTGAAGCAGTTCTATAGAGGATACTAGCTGTGTAGGTTTTTAATGTTTCTTAAACAGGCAGATGAAGCATATTCCATTGGCCCAGCTCCCTCACAGCAGAGTTACCTTTCTATGGAGAAAATCATTCAAGTGGCCAGAATATCTGCTGCACAGGTAAGAGTCATGTAGTTGCAGATCTGAGACACTAAGGAGGGGAGGAGGAGGGTAGAGAGCAAGGGGTGTTTGAGGTGGGAGGAGAACGTGATGGAGTGTGGTAGAGGACTGTGAGGACTTGGTGTTGGGAAAACTATGTTGACCTCACCTGAGGGGAGAAATATTGTGAAAAAATAAACAAGGATGTTTGAAAAAAAATCTATTTTAAAAAATAAAGAGGCCAAAGAGCTTAAAAAAAAAGTCATGATGAGATTTGTAATGCAAAAGGAAAAAGCTTTGTACAATTTAAGCAAAATTATTTCTTAGTTACAGAAATCTTTTTCTAACTTTAGCCCTTCCCAAGATTTTTACATTTGATTATTGGGTTGTCAGTGTAAATCTGTTTCTTCTTGACTTCCCAGTCTTACTCTAAGGCCCCACTCCCTGGTTTTCTAATATCCTAGGCTCAAAACTTTGATGTTATTACATTATGTCTTTATCCTTCAAAATAAAAGAGAAACCAACTTGTATGGAATTTTTCTTTGAAATGTCTCTACAAGTAATTTATTTTAGTCACACAGCCAGATACTTTGACCTCTTATCTGGATTTCTGACTCTCGACTGCTTCTAAACAGTTCTCTCTATCGCTGTGTTCCTAAAACACTAGTTTTGTTATTATCCTCTGACTTTCCCCTCAAGTAAATTTTTGGTGATTATAAGATAGAGTTCAAACTCTGAAGTCTGACGTTTAAAAACTTTCCAATACTTTTCAAAACATTTCATTTCTCATTGCTGGTTCTATATTATAGAGCCATAAACTTTTCTCCATCTCCTTATACCATGTATATTTCTTCTCCTAAGCATTTGCTTATATTGTTCCACCTGCCTGAAGTCCTCTTCCTCCTTCTCTTAGCATTCATACATTTACTCTCTCAGCAAGCATTTACTTGTCTCTTGTGTTGTGCCAGTTAAGCATAGAAACTGAGATGAACAGGATAGACACAGTTCCTACCCCCAAGTAGGTGAGACAGATAATATACCTCTAAATAAATATTTAATACAACTAAGAGTGTCATAAAGTTATAAGTGGTTGGAAGAAAGTAAAGCAGGATGGGGGATAAAGACTGGATAGGGTGGTGAATGGCTGCCTGCCCCCATTTGAATGTAGCTGGAGCCAGTCATGTGACTAAAGAGGAAGGATCACGCACAGGGGCTTGAAAACAAGCTTGGTGTTCAAGGAATAAAAGTGTTCAACGCGGAGGGAGGAAAGGCAGTAAGGGTCTGTCTCATTCTATATTCGGTCAGTAAAATTGAAATTCCATTAGATATTTCAATAGAGGGAATTTAATTTAGGAATTACTTCTACCAGCATTAGAGGGCTGGAGGAGGGACTTTTTGCAGCTGTTACTCAAATCTTTGTGAAGGGGCCTCCCCTGGCTGCAGGGGTATAATGAAGCTGATTCTGAGCATAACAAAAGAAGCGGAAGACTACATTGTGCTGTCTAGCCTGAAGAATAGGGAAGCTTTTCTTGTTTGCACTTTACCCACAGTGACTCCTGCTGGCGGAACCTAACAGGAAGCCAACCCCAGGAAAGGTATTTTGAAGATCACCATCACAAAGACCAGTATGGAAGGTTGGGCTGGGAGCTAAAACCAGCTGTCACAGGAAGAAAACGGTAGGGCATGGTGAAGCAAAGAGAAGTGAAGGCAACCTCATTAGGGGCTTTACGGACCTACATTATTCCCCTTTTTAGAATCAACATTTCTGATCTGAATACCCTAGGCATTAATTTATACATACAGATATTTAAAGCATTTCACACTAAGTAGCTAATGGATTTTAAGCTGGGGAGTGTGAGGTGATTAGATTTATATTTTAACAAGATCATCATGGCTGCTGGTGGCTATGGATAGTGGGGAGGGGCAAAGATGGGACTAAATCAAAGAAAGCTCGAAGAGTAATTAGGAGTTTACTACAGTAGACTTACCCTTCACTGCTACCTGCATTCTTGCTTCATAAAATCTTTCATGTCTCCTCCAGTTATGTTAAGGTCTCCCTTTAGCTATTGATTTGCTGTTCCAGTCATTTTTGTAGTTAGCTTTTGTCAGGGTACAATTTATTAAAGTTAAAAATTAAGCCCCCACTACTTGCCCAGCAGGCAGGTTTGGGAGGCTGAAATAGATAAGGGAATTGATAAGTCTGCCTTGGGGACAAGGCCATAAAACCCACCACTATGACCAGAAAAACCAACCCAGCTCTAGGAATGCAGAAGCAGAGGCTAGAACCTGTTCCTGTGTCAAGGACCTTCTCTTGCTGGGAAAAGGTAGTAGTAAACCCTGGCTGCAGATTGGAATGACCTGAGGAGCCTTGTAACGCTAATGAAATTAGTGGCTTAGGGCAAGGGCCTAGAATAACCTGAAAGGGAGCATAAAGGGATTTTCTGGAATGCAGTTGATGTTTTGTTTCTTTACCCTATTGCTGGCCACACAGGTGCATTCAGTTTATGAAAATTGTGTTGTCTGTAACAGTTATACACTTATGATGTGCAATTGTCTGTGTGTATATTATTCCTTAGTGAAAAGTTAAAAAAAAAAAGTTTGCCCAGGCCTCATCCCCTCAATTATCTGGATTAGCTAAAAGCATGAATATTGTATGAAAGTGATCCACTTTCTTTTAATGTGCCATCAGGAATGAATAACTTTATTGCAGCTATTTTGAAATCACTGACAAGTAACTTTAATGAGTATAGCAAGTTATTAACTAAATTCTGGTTATCCATATGGTTGACCAAAAGGAAATCCATTTGTCTCAAGTATCAAAGGTATGGTAGGAAAGTCTTGGTAGTAATACTTTAAGGATACCACTTGTTCATTCACCAAAGAAAGGAAGCATCTCATTTCTGTTTGAAGGCAGTCAACAAGAACTTTTGATCTCTTCATATGTGTAAAGAAGCACAGGGCAGACTAGGTACAAACTAATGGAAAAAATTATTTGGCAAAGAAGAGTAGGAGATAGCAGTTGTCTATCTTTACTCTTAAAAACATGTTAATACTGGGCCTCCCCGGTGGCGCAGCGGTAGAGCGCTGGGTTGCGAAGCTGCCCGCGGCCTCTGCAGCGCCGGTTCGATCCCCGGCTGCTCCCCGGCCACCGGAGGAGGGTCCCACATGGCGCGCAGACCTCTCCTGCCGCCCGCTGCTCCCCTCAGCAGTGTACTTCGGTCCTTCTGCCTGCTCTGCTCCCCGCTCTGGCTCTGGTGAATTCTCTCACCCTCCCGCACTTCTGACTGTACCGAGTGCATGTATAAACAAAACAAACAAACAAGCAAACAAACAAATAAAGAAAAACATACCTCTATAAAAAAAAAAAAAAAAAAAAACATGTTAATACTATGGCCTGAACCATCTAAATAGGCATGCGATCCTGTGACCCAACAAAGTGAATTGGTAGCTAAATATCAATATATGCTTGATGATAAGGAAATTAGCCTTCTAGTGATAGTAGAATTTTTTTTTTCCTTTTAACTCATTCATATGCTCAAGAGTGCTCTGATTAGGATATATCAAATTGTTCTTACAAAGAAAAATTAAACTTCTTGAGGCCATTCCTAGAATGTATGATTGAACTTTATTTTTATTAGAAGCTAGCTGCTTTTCTTTTTAGTTATGAATGGAGAGCATTTAATTTATCATAGTTTTAGTGAATGAAATGATACATTATTTATATGAATAGATATACATATATTTATATGAATATATAAATGCATAATGTATTTATATGAACATACTTAAATGTGAATATATATGAATAAATATAAATATTAAGAAGGGAGGCTAGCAACAAATACTTTGAAATTGAAATTAAGGAAACAGATACATTCAAGTAACATCAATAAAAATCTAATGCTTAATAGTAAAGCTGGCAAAAGCGGATCAAAACCTATGTATTGGAAACTAAAACAAGGAAAAAACCAAGAAAGGCATAAGCAAATTGATACATCTGTATCATTGGAAGAATCAATATTCTTAAGATGGCAGTTCTTTCCAAATCTATAGATTTAACAATGTGGTCTTTATCTAAATACCAATAGATTTTTTTTGTTGCTATTAACAACTTGATCCTAAAGTTGTTACAAGATATAGGGTACAATGCTCAGCAACCTGATTTAAAAATAGTTAACATTCATCAAACACTTAAACATTAAAGGACTCTGGAAAGATTTAAATTAAAAAATTCTATTCTGTGGTTTAATAAAATAAATTTAAAATAAATAAAAATTGAAGCAGTAAGCTTCAGATGTCGAAAAAGTTTGCCTTTTTACAGTCTCTTGCTTATGTACATACTGAACTATTATTCTAGCAGTACAGAAATTCTGTCAATGCTATTGAACTGGGAGCAAGAGTTGCTTCTTTCCTCTTTAAAATATCTACACCTAGTCTGCTTTTTGCTTTCCTCTCCCTTTTTCAGGTATTTTTTTCTTCATTTTATTATAAATAGTGCTATAATGAACATCTGTGTATATGAATATTTATATTTCTCTCTGACTTTTTTTTTTTTTTAAGATTTATTTATTTATTTATACAAGCACTGGGTACAGTCAGAAGCACGGGAGGGTGAGAGAATTCACCAGAGCCAGAGCGGGGAACAGAACAGGCAGACCTCTCCTGACTCACCCGCTGCTCCCCTTAGCAGTGTATTTCAGTCAATCCTCCTGTTCTGTTCCCCACTCTGTCTCTGGATCATCTCACCCCACCTCTGGTCTGTACTCCAGTTCTTGTACGTATAAATAAATCTTTTAAAATAATACTGAATGAAATAAGCTGACAAAAGGACAAGTATCATATAATTCCACTTATATCAGGTACTTGGATTAGGCGCGTTCATAGAGACAGAAAGTTAAATAGAGATTACCAGGAAATGAGGAATTACTATTTGATGAATACACCTTCTGTTTGTGATGATGAAAACATTCTGGAAATGAGTGACAGTGATGGTTGCACAACATTGTGAATGGACTTAATGCCACAAATTGTACACTTAACAGTGGATAAAGTGATACTATATATATATATTTATATATACGCACACATATATACACACACACATATATTACCATAGTGAAAGAAGTACAGATTCTTCTGGTTCAGGTAAGTCTTCAGAACTTAAATATAAATGTTTTAAACATCTCTTTGGAAACAGATTTTGATAGAAACAGAGTGCTTATTACCAGCTTAAAGAGAGGCAGAGGAAAATATTGCCTGCATTAGAGTTAGCCAGTGGACACTAGAGGAAGTTTATCCTTTCATTTCTTACTTCTAGGCTATCCATCCAGGTTATGGTTTCCTTTCAGAAAACATGGAATTTGCTGAACTATGTAAGCAGGAAGGCATTATTTTTATAGGTCCTCCTTCATCTGCTATTAGAGACATGGGGATAAAGAGGTGAGTTTACATCTTTTTAAATATAATCATATTAAAAAGATCAATTAAAATGATTTATTTTACCTATAATAGACAAAGTAATTATACCATCTTGTTATTTACCTAACACTTCAGTGGTTAACAAAAATACTCAACTATTTCTAGTAATTTATTAACTTTTTGGGATTAATTAGCTGTTTCTAATCAACATAATTAGCAAGGTGGAACGAACTACCACATGGAAAACTGGATGGAGGAATACTAACTAGTAGACATTTTTATATTAGTATTTGTTGTCTTAGACTGTAGTTCTTTATCTATGGGATGCTATATTTTGAAAGTTCTATTGTATTTTACAAAAACAATGGACTGTGTTTATGCTTCTCTTCTATGAAATAATTCATAGAATTGGGGCATCTTCTGGGTTTGTTTGTTTGTTTTTATTTTACAGCACCTCCAAATCCATAATGGCTGCTGCTGGGGTACCCATTGTGGAAGGTTATCATGGTGAAGACCAATCAGACCAATGCCTGAAAGAGCATGCTGGAAGGATTGGTTACCCAGTTATGATTAAAGCAGTCCGTGGTGGTGGAGGAAAAGTAAGCTTGGTATCCTCAGGTTTTCCTTTTAAGACTAATCTTTGTTCAATTTCTTTTTGTAAGACAATTCTCTTTCTATCTTAGGGTATGAGGATCGTTAGATCTGAAAATGAATTTCAAGAGCAGTTAGAAGCAGCTCGCAGAGAAGCTAAGAAGTCTTTCAATGATGATGCGATGCTGATTGAGAAGTTTGTGGATACACCCAGGTGGGTTTGGCTTTTTTTCTGACTCAGATTTTTAAAACTAAATTATGAAAGAAATGCGTGCACATTATATAGAATATGAATCCTAGGAGTATAGAAACACATTAAGTTTCCTAATCCCATCCCCTGATTATAGTATGGTAGACATTCTTCCAGGCATTTTCTTTCAGAACCTGGAGTCCCTGCTCTAATGTCGCCTGCCTTGCGGTAACTAAAAGATAAAGGACAGTTAGTGGAAATGGTAGAATTTCACAATTAGAATTTGAAAAACAAAACAGTTGGCTCTGGTATTCCAGTTTGAAAGTTGTGACTCACATTTGAAAAGCAAGTAAAGAGCTGAACAGAATGAAAGCCAATGACTTTTATATCCATCAGAGAAACAAGACTGCAGGGTGAACCACCACCCCGAAATCTGATGGGTATGTGAATACAGCAAATCATAGCTGAGATCAGTTCACCTGGAACAGAAGCTACAGATTGCATAAACTGATAGGAACATTTAGGAAATTTTCAGATTACTGCAGGTTAAGTGTTGACTAGCACAACAGTGAGAAACATCTTGGGGCCCAACATTAGGGAACTCCCCCCAAATTTTCATGGATTTTTATTTCCAGGAACCCTACCAGGTTCTCACAGAAAAGATCTGAGAAAAAAATTGGGACAGGAAGTGGAAAAAATAACTATTTCTAAAGTGTAGGGACCATGGATGGAGCTGGAAGGGATCATGCTCAGTGAAATAAGTCAGAAAGAAAAAGAAAAATACCGGATGGTCTCACTCATAGCAGGAATTCAGAAAACCTAAATAAGGGACCAGGTAAAAGACTAATTATAATAAAGTAGAAATCAAAATCAGCAAGTAACTATAAACCAGAAACACGCTACAGGGGTGGTGGTGGTGGTGGTGGTGGTGGTGGTGGTGATGGTGATGGAGGGAGTAGGATCAAAAGAAGGGGGGGTGGGAATTGTATGGGGTCTATAACCAAGATGAAAATGCATACATTGTGCAAAAATGAAAAATGATGTAAGAATTATATAAAATATAAAAATATAAATAAAAAGTTAAAAAAAATACAGGGTAATAGTTAAAAAAAGTTTCTTCTCTATTTGACAATGTTTATTTTTATTTTTTTTAAAGATTTATTTATTTATTTATACAAGAACTGGGGCCAGATTCGTGGGAGGGTAAGAGGATTCACCAGACACAGCATGGGGAACAGAACAAGCAGACTGACGGAACACACTGCTGAGGGGAGCAGCAGGCAAGACAGGAGAAGTTTGACACCATGTGGGACCCTCACCGGCTGGCCGGGATCGAACCGGTGCTGCAGAGGCTGCAGACAGTTTCACAGCGCGGTGCTCAACCGCCTGCGCCACCAGAGGAGGCCCCAATGTTTATTTTTAAAAATAAAGAGAAAAATTATTTGTTGATCACTGATTTCTAAAACACTCACATATGAACATATATATGGATATGTGAGTGTATAGTGTGAACCTGAGAAAGTATCCTTCGTGTTTACCAAATGATTTGTGTTAGTCTTATTTTCATGTTTTGTGCATTTACCCTTAATATGATTTCTCATAATTTTACTATCTATACTCAACATTAAAGTACCTTTTTAGGGCCTCTCTGGTGGCACAGGGGCTTAAGTCTCAGCAGTTATATCTCTATGAAGCTATCTGCAGTCATTGCAGCACGAGTTCGATCCCCAGCCAGGGAGCTACCCACATGCACTGCAGATCTCTCCTGTCTTGCCCACTGCTCCCCTCAGTGTATTTCAGTAGATACACCTGTTCTGCTCCCCACTCTCTCTGGTGAATCTTCTTATCCCCCAACCCCTCACACCTCTGGCCTACACCCCAGCTCTTGAAAGCATAAATAAATAAATCTTTAAAAAATAAATAAAAAATACTTTTTAAAATACTTTTTAAATTTATGATTAAAGATAATATATCCTTTTGAGTATATATAATTTTCTAACTGCAACAGTTTATAAAAACTGAATATAAGAGTTGATTTAAAAGAAATCTGCCAAAAGTTTTTATTGACTTTTTGAGCATATATGTGATGCAGCTGTAATTGACATTTTGGTGTTCTCAAATTTACATGCTTTCCGATGACAATTTGTACATTTTGTGACCTACCCCTATTTTGATGTCATAGTCTCATATTTTCTGTCTTTTCTCCCAGCCCATTCATATATAATTTTTCACTTTAGTGGTCAACCATAAATGGAAATTTTTCATTGATTTATTTTATCCGATTGACTCTAGTTCTATTTCTAAATTCATATCCTCTATTCTGAGGTCAAAATATCACTTCTTAGCTAAAATAAAAATAGAGGAATTCTGGCTACCTTGGCCAACAGTTTGGCTTCATGAATGTAATATTTGTCACCCTTAATGAAGTATATTAACATGTGCATTTGCTTTTAAATAGGCACGTAGAAGTTCAGGTGTTTGGTGACCACCATGGAAATGCTGTGTACTTGTTTGAAAGAGACTGTAGCGTACAGAGGAGACATCAGAAAATCATTGAGGAAGCCCCAGGGGTAAGGAAATTGTAAACAAATTTGTGGGTTTCTCTATAATATAAACCTTAGTCACTCTGATTTTCACATTAGAAATCTGTGACACTAGGGGCCTCCTTGGTAGTGCAAGGGGTTAAGCACCGCACTATGAAGCAATCCACAGCCTCTGCAGCTCGAGTTCGATCCCTGGCCAGCCAGAGAGAAACCCACTGGCGAAGCAGACCTCCTGTCTCGCCCGCTGCTCCCCTCAGCAGTGTATTTCAGTCAGTGTGCCTGTTCTGTTCCCCACTTTGTCTCTGGTGAATCCTCTCACCCCACTGCATCTCTGGCCTGTACCCCAGCTCTTGTATGCATAAATAAATAAATCTTAAAAAAAAATTTAAAAAAGAAATCTGTGAAACTAAATGTCTACCCCTAAGTCTGCTGGACAGACACTTCCCAATAGTAATATAATGTAAACATCCAATGCAGTGTTGGGGATGGGGGTGAGGGGGCTCCTGTTCTTAGACTACCATCCAGAGGACGCAACAGGGCCATGTTCCTTCTGCTTGGTATTGAGGAAAGTCTCCTCTTACCCAAGTATCAGGCTTATCGTGAGTACCTGTATAGTGTTTCCATGTAGATTTTAAATTGTAATTAACTAGAAAGTTTACGACACGGAATGGTTTGATTAATGGAATGTAATTTTTATGAAGAAGTTTCTCTCATTTTAACTGTAGTTTAAGATGTTTCCAAAATACAGTAGTCATCTTCCTATCTTAAAAGTTCTGTTGTGAAGAGAGATTTACTCCTGTTTGTTAACTTTTGCCCCCTTAGGATTATTTACATGCCTAGGAGCCTACCTCTTGATTGATTTAAGATGTTATCTAGGTCAAGGCCTACCCCTCAGATTAAAGATTTTAAGATTTACATTTCTTTGGAGCCTGTAATGCTATAGAAATCTTTCTTGTCTGAAGTTACATAATTGGTTTTTTTCAATATGTATTTCTAAAAGGTCAGGAATCTGAGGTTTCTGGTTAATCACTATTCAAAACTTAATTTCTGTTGCAGTATATATTAAATCATTTGAAGTTAATGTGAACAATAATTTCAGTAAAGTCTTATTTTCAAGCAGTGATGGCTTATATATATGTGTATATATATATATATATATATATATATATATATGTCTGTAGAGCAGTGTTTTAAAACGTTAGAAGCCTTGCCTACCTTTTTTTTTTTTTTTTTTTTTTTTTTTTTTAATTTTTTTTTAAGATTTATTTATTTATTTATACACACAAGCACTGGGTACAGTCAGAAGCGCGGGAGGGTGAGAGAATTCACCAGAGCCAGAGCGGGGAGCAGAGCAGGCAGAAGGACCGAAGTACACTGCTGAGGGGAGCAGCGGGCGGCAGGAGAGGTCTGTGCGCCATGTGGGACCCTCCTCCGGTGGCCGGGGAGCAGCCGGGGATCGAACCGGCGCTGCAGAGGCTGCGGGCAGCTTCGCAACCCAGCGCTCAACCGCTGCGCCACCGGGGAGGCCCACCTTTTTTTTTTTTAATTAACCTTTCTTGTTTACTTCAAATCTCAAGGTTTACCATTATTCCAAGATCATTCTTGGACACGTGACCCAGGGTATCAACTTGAAACAAAAGTTTCAAAGTTTTCATATTAATATATATAATTTCAAATGACTGTAATGCTTGAAAGCTGATATTGTAGATAGGGACAGAGATATGTCACTATACTGAGTTTTTTTCTGAAATGTGTAGAAATTATTAGAGCCATCAAACTTGGATACAGTCACAAACTGGTATATCTTGAAATGTATAACATTAGGTTTTTTTCTCTCTTTAATTATTTCTTTATGCAATATTTGATACATGGAAATGTAATATTCAATCTTAATGGAAAGTTTAATAGGGTAAGATAATAATGGGATTTACTTTAATTATTTTTTCTAGCCTGGTATTAAACCTGAAGTAAGAAAAAAACTCGGTGAAGCTGCAGTCAAAGCTGCCAAAGCAGTAAACTATGTTGGAGCAGGTATGTTGAGATTTGCTTTAATGGTGCACGGGTGCCTTGGGGAAGGGAATTCTATGGGGACTCAACTTGAGGGGGTGAGGGGAAGCAAATATTGTTTTAAAAAAAATTAAAAAAAAAAAAAAGATTCCCTTTAATGAAAGAAAGGAAATAATCATTTACTTGTGTTTCAGAAGTCAAAAGAACATAACTTTTGAATCATTGACTTTCAGTCTTTGACCAAATTCACTTTAAGAAATATATTTTTCATTGAAATTGACTATGTATGCATTAATGTTTGTGCTTATATACATTTGAAAAATACATTTCACTAAGTCCTAATTATGTGTAATGCTGTTTTGATATTTTCTATCCTATTTTAAAAATCACTGAAAATTTTTTTAACAAATTTATATACTTTCATTTTCTAGAGCAGTGTTAGATCACAGCAAAACAGCAGAAGTAGTTTCCACATACCCCAGCCCTTCACCCACACAGCCTCCTCTACTACAAACATCCCCAACAGAGTGTACATTTGTTACAATTGACAAACCTACACTAATATATATAATTATCACACAGAAAGCATAGTTCATATCTGGGCTCAATCTTGGTGTTGTACATGCTAGGAGCCTGGACAATGTAAATTATACATATCCACCATTATAGTATCATAAAGAGTACTTTGTCCTAAACATCCTCTGTGGCTTGCTCTTCATCCTTCCCTCTCCTCTTCATCCTTCAAGACAGTATATCAAAAAAAAAAAAAAAAAAAAAAAAAGACAGTATATCATGAAGGCATATGGTGTCAGTCTTCAGAAAGTTTTTCTTCAAAATTGAACTGGCTATTCTGGGTAATTTTGTCCCTCCACATAGACTTTACTGAGTCTTCCTACCCATGACTTTAGTCCTTAATATCTTTCCATTTATTTAATTCTTCTTTTACTTCCTTCATCAGGATTTTGTAGTTTCCATATATGGATTTATACCTACTTCATTTTTGGAGTGTTAATGTAAATGGTTTTGTGTTTTTAATTTCAAATTCCACCTGTTTCTCACTAGTATAGAGGAAAACGATTGACTCATATATTAACCTCATGTTTTGAGACCTTGATGTAACCATTTATTAGTTGCAGGGGGTGGTCGATTCTTTCAGGTGTTCTGAGCAAGTCATTTATGAGCAAGTCATTTATGACCACAGACAGTTTTATTTCTTTCTTTTATGTGTATATTCATGTCTTACTGCATTCACTAGGCTTTCCAACTGCTTTTTTTTTTTTTTGTGATTCTTGTATTGTCTTTAATCTATTGATCTAATGGATTGCATTAATTGTTTTTCAAATATTGGACCAGCCTTGTATACTTGGGATAAATCCCACTTGGTTATGGTGTATACTTCTTTTTATACATTGTTGGATTCAATTTGTAAATATTTTATTAAGGATTTTTTAAATCTTTGTTCATAAGGATTATTGGCCTGTAGTTGTCTTTTCTTCTATAATATTTATAAGGTAATGCCTTTGTTTGGGTGGGAGCAAGTCCTTCAAGCTGAAACAATACTTTGATAGAGAATTTTTTTTTTTTTCTAACACATACAAATATAATTGGCTAATATCAATCATATCAATCATAAAAAATAGAGTAGCAATTATAATGTGTAATTAGTTAATATTAGTGGTAATATTTGCAGCATAAGAAAATGCTGTCTATGAAAAAAGGAAAAAGAAATATCCTCAAGATAATTATTTTAGAAGTACTGAATGTAGGAAGAAGGAATAATAAAATGATATTATGATTAATTTTGATGCTGAGGTCAGAATCCATTCTAGAATATCTTCTGCCTGGCAGGGGAGATACCATAATCATGAAGGTGGTTTTCCCAGGGTGAGGCTTATCCATTGCACTCTGGATGTGCTGACCCCTGCGATTTCCCCAAATGTGAGAAACTCGACTGCATAATTTGTGGTAGTGGGGGACTGTGTTCGCACTCTCCCCCAATCCGCCGATCAGGAATCCCCAAATGGCGCTCTGAGAGCTGGCCGCCCGCCAGGAGCGGTGAAGCCAGGAGGCGCGCGATCACAAGCCAGATGATAGAGAATTTTATACTGTCTAATAGAATGCAAGTAGATAGGTATTCACATTAGCTTTAGTTACTATGCAATCTTTCAGTGGGTCACCAGTAAAATAATTTTTAAAGTAAGCTTCCAAAAGCCCACAGTTAGAGAGAGAGAGAGAGAGAGAGTGTGTGTGTGTGTGTGTGTGTGTGTGCTTGTGTGTATGGAAAGGGGTTGCATTTTTCACCACAGGGTTAGAGTGAGATGAGTGAGATGGGAAGTTGAAGTATGAGATTTCCAGGGATATTGGTGTGCTGAAGTATGACACAGGGTCCAAGTATGGTCTCAACTGCCACAACAGCTAAGACTGGTTTCATAACTTGGGCTTGCCATTTGCTTAAAATCGCAATTATCCTTTCTGTGTCTATTTCATGTGACTCCTTATTTTGACTAAGGCTCATTTGCTGCTGCAAAATGTGAAATGTCTTCATGAAATGCAAAGTGTTTACTATTGAATGAAGGCAGCAGAGATAAGTGATATGTCATGGAGGATTTTGATATGCTTCTGATTAAATGCCATTGAAATGTGATAATTGCATTTTACCTTTTAGGAACTGTGGAGTTTATTATGGACTCAAAGCACAATTTTTACTTCATGGAGATGAATACGAGACTGCAAGTGGAACATCCTATTACTGAGATGATCACAGGAACTGACTTGGTGGAGTGGCAACTTAGGGTAGGAATATATATATTTTGTTAAAGATCTGTCTTGAGAATATGTTACTTTCTTGCCTCTTAAAAGAAGACACTGTTTTGGACCTAGGTTGAATTCTAGGTGGTTGTGATGAGTCCAGGAAAAGGAGAGGTTAAAGTGACATTACATTTGATGCTATGACGGTATTGTCACTCTCTGGACATAGATTCCTAATTTGCCACTTGCTACCATTTCCCCTTAGACAGGGGCAGCCAGTGAGCATGTGAGCCACACTGAGGCTTCGTTGTGACCATATTGTCCCAGCACTAAAACCTTGTGATCTGCATGAGAACACCGCATTCTAGCCAGGCCATGATAGATTTTAGAGGCAGGATATTTACTTGCCAAGATGAAATACCCTAAGGTAGGACTGGGTATAAAGAACCAAGGAAATGGTCTTGATTAATAGAGTGGTCCAGATGCAAATGCTGACTTACAAACTGTTGCTGGTCCATAGGGAGATAGTATAGCCATTCAAAGTAATTGTTGGAAAATTTTCTGAGCTTTTTTGACATTGCAATGACATGTCTACTGTTCTTTTTCAAAAATATAAACCCATAACTGTTCCTTTATTTAGTTTGAGAAACTCTGACCTGAACCAGAGTTTCAGACAAAATATTTCTTCAAATATTAATAATAAAAGCTTAGTCTGTTTTTGTCCTTTATTGAAGCAATAGATTTTCACCTTAGCCTTTTTTGCTCTTTTAATACGAAAAAAAAATTAACTAGTGTGAACATTCTTGATCTTTGTAGAGTTCTTAGGGTTCTTTACATGTCCTGACTCTTTGTTGTTTTTTCCATGCTATGATACTAAAGTTTTGATTATCTTGATAGTTGTGTTTTTTCAGAACTTCTGTAATATGTAATACTACAGTTTATGTAATATATAATATGAAATATGTTTCTCTTGCTGATTCGTTGGGAGTGATTGGTGGTTTTCATTGAGTAAAAAAATTCTTCTGGACCGCTATATCTTTGGGTATAGGATACCCAATGAACCAGGCTAATGAACCAGCCATATCAAACTAGTAAGTGTTAGGAAAACTGTAGTAGATTTAGAAAGTTCTGGAAAGATTGCTTATGTTTCCAGAATTCAAGGAAAGACAGATTTTTTTTTTTCTGAAGCAGTAACCCAAGAGAATCCAGAGTCTTGAAATCATGGAGGATTAAGGATTCCTATGTATTAAGAGAAAGGTTTAGATACTAAGGGAACAGGCAGACATTTATTTCTGCAACTCAAGAAATTGTAAGAACTTTGATGGCTCTTTAGAAAGAGAAGTGGGCCTTTATACTTTGGGAAGGAATTCTGAGTTTAGGGACACTGCTGGCTTGGTTTATAGAGTTCAAGGCACTTTGGACCCTCTTTTTGAAGCAGGGGAAAAGAAGGGAACTTAACATTTGGTGATTCAAGAGTTCAAGTTTCAGCACTTGCCTCTATAGTCAAAGTTTTTCTAGAATGAGGATATAATGAATATATAATCCAGGCTGCAGATGCAGATGATGAGTAGTGTTCAGGGAGAAGTGATGAAAGAATCCAAAGTGAAGGGGTTCCAATGAGTCACTGTCTAAGCCGGATAGAAGTCAGATGGCATGGACTGCACACCCAGAGGCATGGTTGGGGCCAGTCATTTCTGGGCTTAGCCAACTTCAGAGGAAAATAGATAGGAAAGGTAAGCCAAGTAGAAATGGCTATCTAATCAGATACAAGATCACATTTTAGAATATGGAACTTAGAATATAAAACAAATATGGAATTCTTTATTAAAACATTAGAGTATTTTATAAAAGACAAGAATGAAATGATAATAGCTAACACTAATATAGTGCTTCTTATATGCCAGACACCCTTCTTTGAAGCATCCAGGGTTATAAACTTGCTCAGTACCCTATACAGAGTAAATATGGAGACAGAAAATTTGAACCCAGGCAATGTGGGTACAAAGTCTGAGTTTTGAAACAATATGCCATAAAGGCATTCGATTTAGTCCTTTGTCCTCTCATTCTTAACTGCTGTAGTTCCTGATACATTTAAAGTGACAAAACCTTAGTTTGTTTTATGTTAACCTGTTTACTTAATGTTGTTTTCCCTGTATCTTTTGCTTTCTCAGGTTGTAATTTTCTCATCTTGGAGGAAAATTTAAGGGGAGAGTAAAGAGAGAGAGAGAGAGAGAGTGGCAGCATGTCCTCCAATAGCCTTTTCCAAATCATACTAGCTGAAGAGAGAGGTTTGTTGTATTGGTACTTGATAGCAAGAATAATAATAGTAGTAGTAGTAATGATAAACAGCAGTGCAGTGATCACCTGTTTATAGTCTAGTATCATGCAATACACATAAACATAATAAAATTAAAAAATCATCTTACCCTTTCTTCACTCACTTGTTCATAAAGATTACAAAGATGACTAATGCCACACTTTAGCCAAAGCTGTGGATGTGTCCTATACACCAACTAATTTTTTGTGGTTGTAAAAGTTATTTATATATGCATACAAGAATGGGGGTATAAGCCAGAGGTGCAGGGGGTGAGAGGATTCACCAGAGAGAGCAGGGAGCAAAACAGGTGTATCTACTGAAATATACTGCTGAGGGGAGCAGCTGGTGAGGCAGGAGAGGTCTGCTGTGCCATGTGGGTTGCTTCTTGGCTGGGGATGGAACTTGTGCTGCAGTGTCTGGTGACAGTTTGATATTGCTGTCTTTAAAACCCCTGCGCCACCAGGGAGGCCCCACCAACTAATACATTTCTATTAAAAAAAAGATTGATTTAATGTTTTAAAGGAAAACTGAGTCTATCTTGCTGGTGAGAAATTTTAGTTTCAGTTACATTCCAAAAAACACTGGTTTTTATATTTATAATTTAGTTATCAGCTTGCCTACTCTCTCTCTTTAAAAACTATTGAAATCATACATCATTTCAAGCTGCATCTGCTTTTAAATCTGTTTCTGCTTTTGCTCAACACTCACGTGGGTAGATAAAACAATCGTTTTTATTTGGCTTTATCATAAGGTCCAAATATATATTTTATGTAGACAAGACAAGACCAGAGTCTCGTGGCTGTTATAAGGTGGATTTTCATAAGAAGCACATATTCTTTTACCAGATTGCAGCTGGAGAGAAGATTCCTCTGAGCCAGGATGAAATAACTTTGAAGGGTCATGCCTTTGAAGCTCGAATATATGCAGAAGATCCTGACAATAACTTCATGCCAGGGGCTGGACCATTAGTGCATCTCTCTACCCCTCCAGCAGACCTTTCCACTAGGATTGAAACTGGAGTACGGCAAGGTAGAGTGAAGGAAAACAAAAAGTCTCAGTATTTTTGAATTTTTAGTGCGTTCTTATTTTTGGACACGATCTTTTTCTTGTGTCTTGTGGAAATGTCGAGTTTGTTTTAACATAAAGACTTTAATTGATTTCTTGGTCATTTTTTTCCTTCTGGAATAATATTTTTTTTTTTTTTATAAATTTTATTGTTATATTCCCCATACAATTGCAGCCCCCCCATTCTGACCCCAATCCCTCCCCTCCCGCCCCCGCCCCCCTAAAAGTGTCTCTGGTTCATAGTTTTTTGTTGATTTTGATTTTCACTTTCTTATAGTTATTCATTTTCCTGGTCCCTTATTTAAGTTTTCTAGATTCCTGCTATGAGTGAGACCATCCGATATATTTCTTTTTTTTCTGCCTTATTTCGCTGAGCATGATCCCTTCCAGCGCCATCCATGTTGCTGCAAATTGCATGTGTTTATCTTTTTTGAATGCTGAGTAATGGAATAATATTTTTTTTTAAGAATAGCTTGTAATGGTCTCACTCATAGCAGGAATTTAGAAAACCTAAATAAGAGACCAGGAAAAAGACTAATCAATATACAGTAAAAATCAAAATCAACAAGCACTATAAACCAGAGACACACTATGGGGGTGGGAGGAGGGAGGGGCGGGGAAAGGAAGTACTAGAGTCAAAATAAGGGGGGAGATGCAATTGTATGGGGAATATAACCAAAATGAAAATGCATACATTGTGCAAAGATGAAAAAAGATGTAAGAATTACATAAAATAAAATAAATTAAATTAAAAAAAGAATAGCTTGTAATTTTAAACAATACATTCTTGTTTGAAATACAGTGGTACTTGGTCAAACCTAAAGAAAAACATTTCATGTGTACTGTTTTATTTTTTTATTTTGCCGGGTTAAAAAAATGATTTAAGGTGACTGATGTCTGCTATATCCAGGCATTCTACCTTCAAGTCAAACTGGAGAATTAGACATAAACTTGGTACAAAATAAACTGTAATAAAAGAAGGAAAAAAAAACCACCCAAAACTGTAGAAGAGCCATCACAGTTCAGCATATGATTAATAACAGTAGTCATAACTCATAACCCCACTTACTATATATAGGCCATGTTCTAGGTGTTGTGTCTATATGGACTCCTTTAACCTTGAGAACTACCCTATGGGTATTATGTAAGTTTTGGGTGTATATATTATGTATATACTTCATCATGATTCCCACCAAAAGTCTTATTTCTATCCACCACCATAGAATTTACTCCCTTTGCCTATTATACCCAGCCTATAACACTTTTCCCCTCTGGTAACCACCAGCCTGTTCTCTCTATCTATGTATTTGCTTATTTTCATTTGCTTTGCTTCTTTATATTCCAATGAGTGAAATCATATGGCATTTGTCTTTCTCAATCTGAATTATTTCAGTTAACATACTATCTTCAAGTTCCATCCATGTTCTCATAAATGGCAAGGATTTATCTTTTTTTAAATAGTCAAGTAGCATTCTGCTGTGTAAGTTTAGTGCATCTTTTCTCCCCATTCATCTGTTCCAGGACATTTAGATTATTTACATTTATCTTGGTTATTGTGAAAAATCCTGCAATGAAAACAGGGGTGCAAATATCTTTTCAAATTATTGTTTTCATGTTCTTCAGATAAATAACCAGAGGTGGAAGAGTTAAATCATATGGTATTTCTATTCTTAATTTTTTAAGGAATCTCCAAACTATTTTCCACAGTGGCTATTCCAGTTTGCATTCCCACCAGCAGTATATGAAGCTTCCCATTTCTCTGCATTTTTGCCAACACTTGTTTATCTTTTCCATAATGGCCATTCTAACAAGTTTGACCACCCTGATTTTTTTTAAATTTTTTTTTTTAAGATTTATTTATACAAGCACTGGGTACAGTCAGAAGCACGGGAGGGTGAGAGAATTCACCAGAGCCAGAGCAGGGAACAGAACAGGCAGACTGACGAAATACACTGCTGAGGGGAGCAGCAGGCGTGATAGGAGAGGTCTGCGCTCCATGTGGGACCCTCGCCGGTGGCTGGGGATCGAACCGGCGCTGCAGAGGCTGCAGGCAGTTTCGCAGCCCAGCGCTCAACTGCTGTGCCACCGGGAAGGCCCTGACCACCCTGATTTTTGATGAGGCAGTCAGGGCACAGAGAACTTAAGTGACTTGGTCAAGATTATCCTTGAAACCAAGGTTTAGATCCAGGCAGTCTGGCTCCAGAGTCAATGCTCTGAAACTATCTCTGTCTGCTACCATCGTAACTTTAGTTGCCAGAGAAATTATACAGGTGTTGAGTGATGGAATATAGCAGTTCTCAGAAATAAGAGGTTATGTTGGGCTCATGTAATTAGGACACAGTTTTTTTTCCTAAAGATTTATTTATTTATGCATACAAGAGCTGGGGTACAGGCCAGAGATGCGGGGGGGTGAAAGGATTCACCAGAGACAGAACGGGGAACAGAACAGGCAGAGTGACTGAAATACACTGCTGAGGGGAGCAGCAGGCGAGACAGGAGGGTTCTGCTGTGCCATGTGGGTAGCTCCCTGGCCGGCCGGGAATTGAACTCGTGCTGCAGAGGCTGCAAATTGCTTCATAGTGCTTAACCCCTTGTGCCACAAGGAAGGCCATAGGATACAGTTTTAAAAGGAAGTCTAGCATGAATAATTGGAGATGCAGCTGGAGACATAGGTTGAGAGCAAATCGCAGAGTCGTGAAGGCCAAAATGAGAACTGGAATTTCTTGATGATGTTGAATTGGCAGCATTTTGAGAGTTTTTTTTTTTTTTTTAAAGATTTATTTATTTTTATATAAGAACCGGGGTACAGGCCAGATGCGTGGGAGGGTGAGAGGATTCACCAGAGACAGAGCGGGGAGCAGAACAGGTGGACTGACGAAATACACTGCTGAGGGGAGCAGCGGGTGAGACAGGAGAGGTCTGCTGCACCATGTGGAATTCTCGCCGGCCGGCTGGGATTGAACCCGCGCTGCAGAGGATGCTGACAGCTTCACAGTGCAGCACTCAACCACCTGTGCCACCAGGGAGGCCCTTGAGGGTTCTTGCTAAATCATAGCAAGGTTTGGTAGACAGTGAACTTTCAACTTAGTAGTAGAAGATCTTAGAAAAGAGGGCACTTGTAATAGAAAAGAGTGTTCAGGGCCTCCCCTGGCGGCACAGTGGTTGTGTGCTGGGCTGTGAAGCTGCTGGCAGCCTCCGCAGTGCCGGTTCGATCCCCGGCTGCCAGGGAGGGTCCCACATGACGCGACAGACCTCTCCTGCCTCGCCCACTGCTCCCCTCAGCAGTGTATTTCACCAGTTTGCCTGTTCTATTCCCAGGTCTGGTTCTGGTGAATTCTCTTACCCTCCCGTGCTTCTGACTGTACCCAGTGCTTGTATAAATAAATAAATAAATCTTTAAAAAAGAAAAAGAAAAGAGTGTTCAATGTTCTGTGGGACAAGCAAAGCTTGCAATGTAGCTAAAAACTACTCCAAGGAAAATAGAGACAATTCTGAGGGTTCCCAGGTTCATATCTTGATATTAGGAAAGATAATCTAGTCCATGAAGCTTCCCCCAACCCTCTTCATTTGGGTTTCCTGAGTCCCTGTGCATTCCTCAAGTATTGTCCTAGTTATAGTATCTTACGGAAGACTTTTTTTCCTTATCTAGTTTCTCCATCAAATTATAAGATTCTTAAGGAAGAGACTATCTCTTCCATGTTATATTTGCAGCATCTTGCCCAAACCTAGTCCTAGAATATATTCCATATGTGTTAGTGAGTTGGGGGTGAGGGGGTTGTGGAGAATGGGGGGCTGGATGGATGAATAAAAGTAATGTAATGCCTTAATGCCTTGATTTTATAGAAAACCCTGAGGTTCAGAGAGGTCAAGTAGTCTACCAAAATAACAAAAAGCTCCTAGAATCATATTCTTTATAATATACCACAACCCTTTTGACTTGAATCATTTCTAACCAGTGAGATATGCATAGTTCAGATTCCTGGTCACTAAGATTATGGTAGTCTTACTACTATATGGTAGCTTACCATGCTAGCTCCCATTTATTTGTTGACTATGCCAGGTAAAGCACTTGGCACTTTATTGTCAATCCTTCCAACAACCCTACAGGATAGAGGAATTATCAGCTTTATTTAACTGATAAAGCTGGGGAGGTAATGGAAGAAGAATGCTTAGGGCAGAATGATTGTGATATGATTGGGTAGAGGAAGTTTGCACTGACTTCCAAAATGAAAATGGGAAAGAAAGTTCAGAAGAATGTGGGGTGGGAAGAACCACTCCCATATTAAGACTTGGTGCTCTTGGATGACCTCATCCTCCCTGGACTTTTTTCATCTTTTTAAATACCCATGAGCCTCAGTTCTTATGAATAAAATGATGGTAATGATACCTATTGTGTAAGGCTTTGTGAGGATTATCTGTGAAATATAAAGTCCCAGTACAATGTTTTGCTTGCCATAATTTATTCCTTTAAGTTTTGACTTTGGTTTCTGTGGTTTTTCAATTTCAGGAGATGAAGTTTCAGTGCATTATGACCCCATGATTGCAAAGCTGGTTGTATGGGCTGCAGACCGCCAGGCAGCCTTGACAAGACTGAGATACAGCCTTCAGCAATACCATGTGAGTGACCTGGGGTCACTTTAGTGACCCTGATGCTCTCTATATCTCTACAGCCAAGCATGTCTGTGTTGTGTCAGGCAACACCACACTGATAAAGGAACAGGAATCGTGGAGCAGGCTGCACAATGCAGGATGCTGCTTGAGAGCAAGATCCTGGCCATTTTTATTGATAGAATAATCATACAGCATCAGTTACGTGGGGTAGAAGGACAAGGAGAAAAAGATGGGTGAAACTAAATAATTTCATCTAGGGCTTGGGGGGACATGAGTCTGCTGACCAGATAATTGTTATCAGATTGATGATCAAGTGTTGTAATTGAAACCATACCTCAGACCCCCAGCCATGGTTCTAATCTTATCAACAAGGCATTCTGCTGATCAGCTTCTGGGGTCCCTTGTCATACATTGGGCCTCAGCCCCCCCGGGCATTCCCGGTCATACCTCATGATGTATGAGTCGGGAATAAGTTTATGCAACTGTCATCAGCCCCCCTGGTGTTCCCGGTCATACCTCTTGATGCATACCCTTCCCAGAGTGATCAAGCTTTCTGCTCTTGATTGATTTGAAAGGCACCTTGTAAGGTTTGGCTCCTCTGACTGATTGACTGGTTTCTGAAGGGCAGTTCTGACCTTGTATAGGAATGCAGAACTGTAGGTAATAATAGTGGTGGCCAAATAGGCCGCTTAAGTCTAGCAGACCCACATGGTCATTTTTTGTCCTTGTCAACTTGTTTCCGCCAATTGCCCATGTATCACAAACAACATAATTTAACATGGGGAAATTTCCCATCAGTCAGAGTAGGATTTTAGGACTCTTGATTTCAGTTAGAAAAGAAAAATTGCAGGACCAAAACTATTATTGTCAGTGTTATGTACTTCAGTAAAATCCAATATGAAATTTCTGTTCTTCCTGTTAACAAGGCCTGCTACACATTTGGACTATTTTTTTCTTCAAAGGAAAACACTTGTGTTTAGTTTCATCCTTTTGATAGTTTTTGCTCTTCTGCAACACATTAGTTCCCTTGGTGCAGTAAGTTCCATGCCACACTGATTTAGGCTCATAGATGATTTTTTATTAACCTGTGATATTCAAATTGTTGGTGTATATTATTAATTTGATTGAGCTTCTGATCTTTGTGGTTCTAACCACACTGGTTTCTTTGCCATTCCTTCGATACACCTAGCATGGAGCCAAGTCTTGCCAGGCTCTCTCCCAGAATGTTCTTCCTCCACATGATGACCAACTCCCTCCTAACCATCTTCAGTGCCTGTTCAGTGCCTCAGAGTCCTTCCTAGGCTGTCCCTTTTAAAATGGGACCTTTTGCTGTTCTCTAGCCCTTTAGCCTTTATTTTATTCATAGCATCTGATATTATATTTTTTTTTTAATTTTTTTTTTTAATACAAGTACTGGGTACAGTCAGAAGCTAGATACTTGTTTCTAGATATTTTTCTGTCCCTAAAATGTAAGTTCTGTGAGGGCGGGGACTTCTATTTTGTTCCTTACTATATCCCCAATACCTGAATCAGTATCTAAAAAGTGCTTAGTAAATGATTATTAAGTAAATGAGTGAATGAATAAATGAGTGAATGCATAACCCCATGGCTTGGGTAGTTGTTTTATCCTTGATCCCATTTACTGGGTAGATTTGGATTAATTTTAAACCTTTTCAATTTTGTAATCAATGTGTAAAATTTGGATATTAGAGTCGTTTAATCCTGTCCCCTCCTATGATTAGCAATCCTGCCCTAGTCTTTTATGTTGTGGGCGTGTTCTGAGCAGCAGGTCTTCAAAATTGTGCAAACAAATCTCATTTACTTTTCATACACTTATTGCTTTCCTAATTTGAATCAATTAAAAGCTTCCATATTATAGACTCTAACACCTTTTTTTATGTCCTGATAATTTTATATATATTTTTTTAAAGATTTATTTATTTATGCATACAAAAGCTGGGTTATAAGCCAGAGGTGTGGGGGGGAGAGGGGTGAGAGGATTCACCAGAGGCAGAGTGGGGGAGAGAACAGGCAGGTTGACCAAAGTACACTGCTGAGGGGAGCAGTGGGGTGAGTCAGAAGAGGTCTGCTGCGCCATGTGGTTTCTCCCTGGCTGGAGAACAAACTCATGCTGCAGTGGCTGCGGTTAGCTTCATAGGTTGCGTCTTAACCCTTGCGCCACCAGGGAGGACCTAATTTTAAATTTTAAATCCAAATAGATAGTGATGGTGAAGTGAGGGTGAGGGTGTGTGTGTGTGTGTATTTGTGTGTCTCCTGGGAGTTGTCCTATCACTACATGGATACCTTAAAAGGTTTTTTATTTTTTTCTGAGAGTTGTCAAGAGTAAAAAATACTTAGTAGAAAGAGCAGATGCCACGGTGATGTTTTTCTGATTAGACTGTTTTTTCCCCCATTCCTTTGGGGGTGTGGGTTTTATTCTCTTCCTAGATTGTCGGACTGCACACCAACATTGACTTCCTGCTCAGCCTAGCTGGCCACCCCGAGTTTGAAGCTGGAAATGTGCACACCGATTTCATCCCTCAACACCGAGATGCACTGTTACCCAGCCGGAAGGCCACAGCCAAAGAGTTTTTATGCCAGGCAGCACTGGGTCTCATCCTCAAGGAGAAAGCTATGACTGATGCTTTCAGAATTCAGACACAAGGTACAGAATGCTTTTTTCTTTTCTCTGCTTGTCAAGATTTTATGACTAAACCTTGGACATGCTTGCCTCTCTTTATACTACTCTTGCCTCCTTTTTCTTCTCAGCGATTATTGACACCATCCTTGGCTAATGTTTGTTGTTGTTTTTTAGTATGGGTTAGAGCTTTTCAGATGTCATAGATAAACACTTTTTAACCCATGAAACATAACTTGACAAATCACCTAACAATTTAGAGGTGAATCTGTTTTTAACCAAGCTCTGGTTCTTCCCAAATTCTGGGTGACTCTCTTCCAGGTTATTTTATTAGTCACTCTTCTTGGCCTCCTTTATTGTATCTTTGTATATGCGGCAACTTCCTTTATCGTGGAGACTAAAGACAAACTCTCAGATTCCCTTGGGTTGCCCATGATTTATTGTTGAGATACTTACTTTCACCTTTTCCATTATATGATCCAATTACTGACCACCTAGAGACCTACATACTTTTCTTTTCATGCCATAGGTTGCCAGTCTAGGAAGGAACATGGCAGAGGATCTTCCTGGCTGCCACATGCCTGGGTTCCTGCTTCAGCACCCCTACTGTGTTGTGCCCAACCTCTTACTAGCACCTTAGGAAACTGAAAATTCATTAATGTTTTGTAATTTCAGTCAGTTCTCCATTAGAAAACTCTTCCCTCTAAATTGCGCACTCCTGACCTTGCTCCATAATATTTACTCAGCCTAACTCTGACCTTTGGAATAAATAGAAAATAAAAAATTGAATTCATTTACGCTCTTCATTATTATTAGGATTATTATTTTATATAATTATAGGATATTATAATTATATAATAATTATATAATTGAATGGATTCATTCAAGAATGAATGGATTCATTCAAGAATGTTAGATTGAAAGCATAAAATGTGTCAGTACATCTTTAGGAAATTTGTGTTCTGTCTTTGTTTTGTTCTTTTACATTAAATGAAATGCATCAAAATGTGCGCAGTATGGTTTTCCTGAGCCTGAACTTAGCTTTTGGAAGGTAGTGTCCACTTACTCACCTTTTTTATTTTATTTTTTTTAAAGATTTATTTATTTATTTATTTATACAAGCACTTGGTACAGTCAGAAGCGTGGGAGGGTGAGAGAATTCACCAGAGCCAGAGTGGGGAACAGAACAGGGAGACTGATGAAATATGCTGCTGAGGGGAGCAGCTGGCACAGCAGGAGAGGTCTGCGTGCCATGTGGGACCCTCACCGATGGCCAGGGATTGAACCGGCGCTGCAGAGGCTGCAGGCAGCTTCGCAGCCCAGCGCTCAACCACTGTGCCACCAGGGGAGGCCCTCTTTTATTTTTATAAAGGCTTTTTTGTTCGTTTTTGTGTAGATGAACTGGGGTATAGGCCAGAGCAGGGGTGGAGTGGAGTGAGGGCTGAGAGGATTCACCAGAGACAGAGTGGGGAGCAGAACAGGCAGATCTACTGAAATATACTGCTAAGGGGTACAGTGGATGAGACAGGAGAGGTGTGCTGCACCATGTGGGTTAGTTCCCTGGCCCGGGATGGAACTCAGGCCTTAGCAGTGATAGTGCTGAAACTTAACCTCTAGGCCACCAGGGAGGCCCTACTCTGCTTTTTTAAATTTAGGTTTATAACTAGCACGTGTATTAACTTCAGAATAAATTTCTTCTATTCAGCTATTTAGTAGCTCCCAAACGTTGTGCAATAGAGGGTGTACACAGACCACTAACACAGAAGAATTAAAAAGGTCGGATGAAAGAAAAATAGTAAGTGGTAGAGATTCTGGTGACATGTAAGCCACCAAAGGATTAGGGTATTAGCTGCATATATTCTGATTTTTTGAGAGAAGCTGGTGTTTTTCATATGAAATTTCCCAGGACATAAATGTAAATCATATTTCCTTCACTGTTTAGAACTAAATAGTCCCATTTGGTATGATTTGATAAATTATGGGGGGGGGGGGCATGAGAACACTATTACCATTAACTTATAAAGGAAATATTTTGAGCATTCCCAGACCCCAAAAAAATCCTCTACCACATCATACCAAATAGGAATGTTTTGCTTTTGAATAGTGGTGGAAACTTGTGTCTAATAAAATTTAAAACAATTAAAGAAAACGTATTTGAGCTGTCAGTGTCTTACAATTTTTTTTGGTAAGGTATAAATTCTGAAGGCTTCATGTTCATAAATTTGTTGTTGATAACTTTTTTTTTTAGACCGATACTCTCCATTTGCTTTCAGCGGTGGAGGAAGATTGAATAGCTGTTACACCAGAAACCTGACTCTTAAGGATGGTAAAAACAGTAAGTAATGTTTTCTTGAAGGAGAAATGTGATTCATTTCACATTTACATGAAAATATATCACAATTGCATGGGGGAAAAAAAAGAATTCAGTCTGGTCACTATCAGTCAATTACATTTTTTTAAAAATCCCTAGCCTAAAAGATTGGAAAGAAGCATGCCAAAATAATAGAATTGATTGGTTCTCAGAAGGAGAGTTAATGATATTTCTTTTTCTTCTTGCCATTTTTTCCTGTATTTTATAAGCTAAAAATATGTCATAAAGCATATATAGCAAAACAACTGAAATAAAGTATGCTGAAATGTTAGTGAGGTTACCAAGGAGGCAATCTTCACCCCTTGCTTCTTTGTACTTTGCTTTGCAATTTCTCTTCAGTAAGAATATTTTACTTTTGAATAAGAAAAGCAATACCCAAAACTATATGGGAGGGAGGATTACCAGTGTTTCAGGTGAAATGGGCCACTAAAGAGCTGTGATTCATTAAGGGCCTTATCAACATGTAAATTTTTTTTCAACAACTTGTGGGGATGGGAGTGGGGGTTGCTGTTATACCCATGTGTATTGGGTGAATTGGAGACACAAAAGGTGAAGTAACTTCTTCAAGGCTAGTAAGTAGCAGTCTTTATGACCTTGATTCCCTTGCTATTTCTACCAACTTTCTAGTGGGAAGTTGATTTTGATTGCACACAAATTTGAGTAGGCTCAGAGTGGGGACTGATTTATTGTGATTGAAGTCAGGAGAGGCTGACACCCAAGCCAGAAGGCAACTTATAAATTTATGATTGTGACAGTGTAGCAAGGAGGTTGGAATCCTTGATAGCTGGTGACCATACCCCTTCTGCTACAGGAGTTTATATGGGAAATCAGATGAGCACTAAGTCAGAGCCAGGAGGGCTGGATAACCTTGAATGTGAGGTGTCTTGAACTGTGATGGCACCGTTGTGAAAACATGCTGTCTATCTAGAATCTTCCTCCAGCTCGTGACTGCATCCTCTTCCCTGGACAGAGTAGGCTCTTCTTCACCTCAACTCTGTGTAGACATCTACTTACATATTAACAAAACCCTGGCTCAGAGAAGTTTGATAGGGAGGAGTATTGCTCTAATTTCTTTATCCTGAGCCTACATGGCCATTACTTTATGAACACTGGGTACATCTCTAAGAGTTTATAAAGAAAGTATGCAAATAATCTTTGATACAGAAGCATTCTGCAAATGATAATCACATTCATTTTTTGTGGTGTGTTTATTTATCTCGTCATAAAAAGAAGCCTTCAAAATCAGGGAGTATCTTACTCTCTAGACTCCCATATATTGAATACAAATATCAGCAAGAGTAACATTTCAGAGGCTCCTTCAACCTTAATTAAATAGAAAAACCATGTGTAATTAAAATTCAGATGAGCCAACTGTGTCATTTGACATGGGATTTCACCAAGGCACTGAGCAGTGTTTTGAATTATACTGTATCTCTTGGCTTTTTTTAAATGAAAAAATTACAGAGTTCAAAAGCCAACAGGATTGCTATTCACTTTGCCCTTTTGGCATTATTTTTCAAAAATGATACAGGTCTAAATGTAACATTTTTCAGAAATGTTGTGGTGAGTCTCTAATAATGTTATACAGCAGTGGCAGTGGTTGAATAATAGGGCACCATACAGGAGGCTTAAGCCCTCAGAGTATTTATGAATATAAATATGGAAAAATATCCTTCAACATTGTTACTAATGACCATGTTTACAGAACCCTGCCCTACCCTCAATAGTAATAATAACAGCTGAGATTTACTGAGTGTTTGATATATGTCAGATACTGTGTCCAGTATTTTATGGATTATTTCATTTGCATTTCAAAACAATGAGTCAGTATACTGTCAACTTTATAAATGGGAATCCAAGACTTATATGAGAAATTAATAATTTTTTTAAGGTCACTCCCAAAGTAATTGATGGAGCCGAAATTGGAACCAACTCTCCAGGGTACTTGTGCTTACTTAACTCTGCAACTTGCTAAACTCCCATAGCTTATTAAATATGTGAAAAGGTTTAAGTCTGTGGAGGAGGGAAGAGCAAGTTCATTTCCCCTATAATATGTAAATGTTTAGAGTTTACCTGCCAGTAGCTTTACTATAATTTTGTTTGCCTTCATGTCAGTTAAATATGTAATTAGATGCATTCTCTCTTCAAAGGAGTAAATCTGTTGACTAAGGTGGAGAAATTTTATTCATTCAAACATTCAGTACAGGTTTATTTAAAGAATAGATACTCTGAGTGATGTGAAGAATAGAAAAAAAGGATGTCTTTGTTCCTTTTTTTTTTTAAGATTTATTTATCTATGCATACAAGAGCTGGGGCACAGGCCAGAGATGCGGGGGTAAGAGAATTCACCAGAGACAGAGTGGGGAACAGAAATGGCAGTTGACCAAAGTACATTGCTGAGGGGAGCAGTGGGCAAGTCAGGAGAGTTTTGTGGTTTGTGCGCCATGTGGTTTTCTCCCTGGCTGGCCGGGGATCGAACTTGTGCTGCAGAGGCTGTGGGTTGCGGTGCCTAACCCCTTGTGCCACCAGGAAAGCCCTGTTCCTATTGTTTTCCATTAAACAAATTTACCATTTGTCAAAGAAAAGTGTTGAGAAGATGCATGGCATGGGTGGAAGGGTTTGAATTCTGGCTCGCTTGGGCAAGTCACTCACACCCTCTAAGTCCTCAGCCATAAATGGGTATGGGAGTGGTCATTCTGTGGGTTGTTGTGGCTATTAAATGAGATGATTCATGTAAAGTATTTAGCTCCTGTGTAACATACAGCAGTTAATAAATATTAGCTGTTATCATCACTAAACTGTCCCCCTACAATTATTGAAGAGCAGAGTAGAGATGTATGTCACATGTTAATTTAAAAGCTGGTTAAAGAATGATACATATAACTATCCAATTTTTATAGAAAAAAATATGTATTTTCAAGGTATGAGGAGATTCACACATTAAAGTGTTAGTAGTAGTTATATCTTGACAAGAAAGAGGAATCACTTTTCACTTTATATATGTCAGCATTGGACTTTGGTGAACAATTTTATTTTTGCAATTTTTAAAACAACCATAGAGTAGAAAAATCACTCTAGCATACAACTTGGTAAGGAAGATCAGGGCTGGACACTGATTTGAGCTGGCTCCATCAAATGATGGCTGGCATCAGTAGGTGAAATGACTTTTGTCTACATTCTCTACCCCATAAAACTTTTGATTTCCACCTCCTAGAATAGTCTTCAGCCAATTCAGTATTCATGTGATCATATGGATATGTTGTATATTGTATTTGTATAATTTGTTGCCATATTTAAAGCACCTTCACATTTATTTGATCATTATTACTTTCTTATACCCATTGAATGTTTCAAACTGGATCAGCAAATTCAGACACAGAAATTTTAAATGATTTAGTCAAGATAAGAGGTGAGTGTGCCACATATGGCAGATTTGGCTCTTAAACCGGAATTTCTCTTTCCCAATTCATTGCATTTTCTACTATAACACTGCAGCCTTTCTTGTTGAAAGAAAAATATCTAAAATATTCTACAATCTTAAAAGAGCTAAAGCTCCATTTTTTTAAGAAAGAAAAATTTTAAATTCACCATATTGAAACCTGCTTGTAAGATACATGTATATTTTTTTAAATTTTTACTACCAAGGAGTTGAAAGATGCCTGATACCTCTTAATAGATTCAAAGTGAGATTTGAGGTATCTCTATTACTGAATAATGCTTCTAATTTTTCTTCAATTTTCCCTTTTTCCATAAAGATGTAGCCATAGCTGTAACATACAATCGTGATGGGTCCTATAGCATGCAGGTAAGCCTTGTTTTGTTTTACAGATCAGAGCTAACTCTCTTGGGTTGAATAGGGTCTTTAATACTCTCTGGTTTCTCTTAAACCACTGATTATGATGGCTGTAACAAGGAGAATGTCAGGTACTTTTATTTCAGAGCACTATGGTAAAATTCCCCTCTATACAGTTTCGGATTGTTTACTCAGTTTGACTCTGTTTCCTTAAGAATAAAAATTTGACAAAAAAAAATCTTTGAGTCAGACACCTGACATTATATTAGGTGATTATATTAGTGATTCCTCTTTAAATGTAAATACATTTAAAGTAGCTGTTTTCAAATTTTTTGGTTTTGGGAACCTTTCACACTCTTAAAATTATTGTGAATTCCCCAGAGAACTTTTGTTTGTGTGTTGCATCTTATTAACTGTTTCAAAAATTAAACTGAGAACATTTAAATCTTTTTATTATTTTGTTAATGTATATGTTTTCAAATATACACAACATAAAGTTTACCATTTTAACCATTTTAAATGTACAGTTCAGTGACATTAAATACATTCACATGGTTGTTGATACAACCATCACCACCATCCATCTCCAGAATATTTTTCCTCTCACAAAACTGAAAATATTTTAAACAAATAACACCTCAGTCCTTCCAACCTCCTCTTCTTTTTATCTCTAGGAATTTGACTGCTCTAAGTACTTCATGTAAGTGAAGCCATTAGTATTTGTCCTTTTGTGATTTCCTTATTTTACTTGGCACAATGCCTTTAAGGTTCATCCATGTTGTAGCATGTGTCCAAATTTCCTTCCTTTTTAAGACTGAATCATATTCCACTGTTTATATTTGCCACACTCTGTTTATTCATTTATCTACTCTGGGTGCTTGAGTTACTTTCTGTCTTTTGGCTATTATGAATAATGCTGCTATGAACAAATAGCTTGAAGACCCCTTTCAATTCTTTGGGACATATACCCAGATGTGATATTGCTGGGTCATATAAAAACTGTAGGTTTTTTTTTTTTTTGAAGAACTTCTATAATACATCAGTTTACATTTCCCCTAACAATATACCACATCCTTCCTAACACCTATTTTCTGTTGTTTTATCTTCTCTGGAGAAGTATCTATTTAGATACTCTTTTTTTTAACAAGTTTGTTTATTTGTTGTTGAGTTATAGGATAAATTGAGAAAAATTTAATACCTAAGATTGTATGAGCACAAGTGTAATTAATCGCCAGAACAATAGCATTATCACATGTCCTGCAGAAAAAGAATGAGGTTTTAAAAAAGTAGCATTAATATTATAAGGAAGAAGTTTGAAGAAGTGAAATCCCTAAAAAATCTTGTGGACCCCAAGGGACCCACAAGTAATACTTGGAGAATCTCTAGTCAAAAGTGATAATCCTCAGCAAAAAGAAATAACATTACGCTGCAAATGAAATGTGAAAAAGGTTTAAAAACAATGTGATAATTCAAAATCTTATACTAGGGCACACATTCAGAGTAGAATAAATTTATTTTATTATGAGCTAAGTGGTTTTAAGTAATTTATCATTGATATGCTTTAGATCTCCCAACACTTTAATAGATATTGGTTTTAATAGATATTGGGGTTTTTTTCTTTTTCTTGGTTATATCCAAAATGTTTAGATTTAGAGGAAAGAGAGAAGACACTTGCACAGACACAAGCCCACATTGGTTTTCCTTCTCTGAAATTGAGAAAAATTATGGGAAGCTTACCTACTTTAGTATATGAGTTGTAATTCATATTAGTACCTCTGGCTTGGCAATCCCTTCTTGTACCCTGGTAAACAGTAAAGTAAATTGCAGATTTATCCTAATGTGCTAAGGAACTACATTAATAAATTTAAATTGTGCCTTTGTAAATCTTTAAATAAAACTATTGCCAGTCTAACCTTTATGCCCTGAGAATTCCACAAACATTCAAATGGCTTTTTAGTAGGTTACAAAGCAGAGTAAAATGTCATATTTAACTTAGAGTAGATGAGAACCAGTGTATAAATACTGCCGTGTGACCAGTTTCACCATAGCTTACACAATATATTTGAAAATAATAAGCCAGAAGACTTTCACACTAATATCAAGGGAATTGAAATGAAAAGGAGAGAGACAAGATTTAAATGGATTTTCTGTGTGTAAGAAAAATGTTTTTCTTTAGCATATATGTGCAAAAACGTTCTTTGGAACAAAAAGGTTGCCTGGGAATAAATTTAATCAAAGAAGTGAAAGACTGTATACTGAAAACTAAGACACTGTTGAAAGAAATAGAACACACAAAGAGATGGAAGGGTGTTCTATATTCCTCATGGATTAGAAAAATTAGCATTGTTAAAATGGCTCTATTATGTAAAGCAATATACAGATTGAAAGCAATCCCTATCAAAATCCCAGCAGTATTCTTCACAGAAATAAAACAAAAAAAAGTCATGAAATTTATTTGGAACTAAAAAGGAACTCTAATAGCAAAAAAATCTCCTTACAAAGGAATAAAAATGGAAGTATCATCCTCCCCAACTTTAAGCTATATTAGAGAGCAATAGTAATCAAAACAGCTTGATATTGGAATAAAAACAGACCCAGAGATCAATAAATTGAATTGAAGGTCCAGAAATAAAACCACACAGATACAGAGAACTAATTTACAGCAAAGAAGACAAGAGTTTACAGTGGAGCAAGGAAAGCCTGTTCAATAAATGCTGTTGGGAAAACTGGGCACCACATACAAGGTTTGAAACTACTACTATCAAACACTAATCATGAAAATTAAATCGAAAAATGAATCACAGAGTTGAATGTAAGACCTGAAACCATAAAATACATGGAAGACATAGCTAGTGGATTTCTTAATATCAGCCTTAAAGAGGTGTTTAGAGACAAGCCTCTAATGACAAGGTAAGCAAAAGCAAAAGTAAACAAGTAGGACTACATCAAACTAAAAACCTTCTGCACAGCAAAAGATCTCTGCATCAAAATGAGAAGGCATCCAATAGAATAAGGATCTTTACACGTCATTCAACAAGGGGTTAATATCTGAAATATACAAAGAACTCATAAAAGTCAACAGTAAAAAAGCAAACAACCTGATTTTTAAATTGACAGAGGATATGATTTAAAGATGGTCACTAGGCACATGATAAGCTATTCATCATCTCTTATAAGAGAATGCAAATTAAAACAACGATGAGCTATCACCTCACACCTGTGAGAACAACTATTTTTCCAAAGAAGAAACAGGAAATGTTAGAGAAAATGTAAAGAGAAGAAAACTTAAACAATATTGTTGGCAATGTAAATTGGCGCAGCCATTATGGAAAGCAGTGTGGAAGTTCCCCCAGAAAACTTAAAAATAGAAATTCTATATGATCCTTTATCCCATTCTGGGTATTTACCAGAAAAATACAAAAACACTAATTTGAAGACATATGTGCCTCATATTTTTGGCAGCACTATTTTCAATAGCCAAGAGCAGGAAACAACCTAAGCAACCATTGACAGAAAAATGGATAAAGGTGTGTTATATACACACAATGGAACACTATTCAGCTATTTTAAAAAACAGCATTTGCAATAATATGAACCATCCTAGCAGGAATTACTCTTAGTGAAATGAGCCAGAGAGAGACAAACATTGTAGGATTTCACTCCTATGTAGTATATAGAGAAAAATAGATAAAACAAAAATAAACTTTTGTACTCTAAGTCCAAGTAGTGGTTACCAGAAGGAAGGAGAAAGAGGACATGTAAATCAGGTAAAAGGGAACAGTGGTATGGGAAAGGATAGATTTGGTCTTTCAGTGGTGAACTAAATGTAGTATATATACATGTTGATGCTCAATGATGAACACCTGAAACTTACATAATATTATAATGCAGTGTTATTTCAATTAGAAATGAAAAAATAGAAAGGTTTCATGTTCTTTTGTCTACTTCCTTGAAAGATTAAATGTGAAATCTATAATTTGGCACTCTGTCTTAGAGTGAGAAAATTATGGTCATTCTCCAGCTAACTTATCTTTGTAAATCATACCTGAAGCCCATAAATTGGGTCTGTGTGTTGGTGAGATTTTTTTAAAATACTATGTAATTATGTAGTTCTGCCATTTTTTTTTTATTACTGACGGTGGCACAGCAAAATCAGACTTTACTTTCTATAGTCAAAAATGAATACTAAATGTAATATGTAATCTACTCAACTGAATTTTAAATTATTTTGCTTTTAGTATTCTATTTCTCATTGTTATTGCTATTCTATTTTTTTTTAAGATTTATTTATTTATACAAGAACTGAGGTACAGGCCAGAGGCGCAGGAGGGTGAGAGAATTCACCAGAGACAGAGTGAGGAGCAGAACAGGCAGACGACTGAAGACACTGCTGAGGGGAGCAGCGGGTGAGGCAGGAGAGGTCTGCCGCGCCATGTGGGTTTCTCCCTGGCCAGCTGGGAATCGAACCTGCGCTGCAGAGGCTGCAGACAGCTTCACAGCATGGCGTTCCACCTGCTGCGCCACCAGGGAGGCCCGTTATTGCTATTCTTAAATTAACCTTTATCTGTGGCATTATGGTGCTATAGATATGTTATAGAATTTTTTCTTTTAATTATCTTATTATAGTTTCCTTTTTTTCTTTTGGTATCATTTTTTATTGCGATAACATTGGTTTACAGCTATACGATTTAGAGACGTAGGTTTATACCTCTTCAGGTATACTTTGCCACACCATACTTGCCCAGTGCACCCACAGTCCAACACCACAGTCCACTGGACCCTCTTCCCCAGCACCCATCCTCCCTTCCTCGTTGCCACAGTTCTGCAGTCAGACTTCTCATTACTGATCCCAACTAGAATATTTTGCTTATATATCTTAGGCAGAACGTTGCTACATGGCTTTTTTAAAAAAATTACCTATTACCTTCTGACACTATTAACAGTAAAGAACTGATTCTGATTTTATTAGTTCTATAGGGTTTTTCATTTATTTTAGGGATCTTATTTTCCTGTTTTTTTCAGATTGAAGATAAAACTTTCCAAGTCCTTGGTGATCTGTATACGGAGGATAACAGCACTTACCTGAAATGTTCTGTTAATGGAGTTGCTAGTAAAACTAAGCTAATTATCCTGGAAAACACTATTTACCTATTCTCTGCGGTAATGTCTCTTCTTTAAAACAACACCATTGGGGTTTGGGGAGAAGTTGTTTGGCCAGAGGCATTCCACTGAAAGACATTAGAAAGATCCCATTTCCCAATCACTGCTATGACCTTTTTTCTCTCCTCCACTCAATTTTCTTTGCTACCTTTTGCCTTCTCTTGTTTTCCACACACCCCTTTTGCTCACAGAATCTCACTGATAGACACATATCCATCTTCTTCCTTTAATTCTGAAAACTGTCCTTGCGCCCTTTTTGTCAGAGTTTCTTCCTGCTGGGTGGGTGTGTTCTCAGGTATTTGATACCTGAACCCCTTCCCCAACCACCACCCTCCTGGTACTGGGGATGGGAGGAGGTGGCCATTGGGGGAGGAGGTGGCCATTGGGAGAGGAGGTTGGATGGGATATTCATTTTGTGGGGAAGGCGGCAGTAGGAAGGTGGATGTGCTGTTAGTTCTGGTCTCTTGGCGGTGAAAGAGTGGTTAAGGCAAGCTTTGCATAGATTTAGTGAAGTGTTTGTTTCCTAACCCAGTGCTTTTAGCTAGGAGCTTTCTGCCCAATGAGCCATTAGCATTCTGCATGAGCAAAAGAAAGAGAATGTATTGTCAGATCTATTCTAGCCTCTTCAGTGTCTTCTCAACATTTGGAAACCATCTTATTGATCATAGTCCTTTATGGCAAGACGCCAGTAGTATTCTAGTAATTAAACTATTTTATGTGGAATTAAGGATGATCTCATTTTATCAGGCCCTCCTTTTCATATGCAGTTGTGCTGTAACAATCTGATGGTAGAGGTGTAGAATGGAGTGGTGATGAGCAGTTCGGGAGTGTGAAATTGCTTTGGGTCAAATCCTGGCCCTACCACTTAGTAGCTGTGCAACCTTGGGCAAGTTAGAGTTTCAGGCCCCCAAGCTATAAAACAGAATCGGGTTGCTCTCATAATTAATGACATGGTATATATAATTGTTAAAAACAGTTTCTGGCATCAACTAAGCACTTGATAGTAGGGATGTTACTGAAAATCACTTCTGTGCCATGGTTGTCTTCAGTTATATGCTGGTACAGTTGCTACAGGAATTTCTTTACTCCCCTGAAAAGTATGTGTACCATTTCTCCTTTATAATAGGAAACCAAGACTGAAAGGGGTTTAGTAATTTGTTCAAGGTCAGAAAGCTACTTGAGAACCCTAAAATTATTTTTTTTAAGATATTTATTTATTTTTTAGCTGGGGGGTAGCCCAGGGGGGGCAGGGGATGAGAGGACCCACTAGAGACAAAGTGGGGAGTAGAACAGATGGACCAACTGAAATAATACTGCTGCGGGGAGCAGCAGGTGAGATAGGAGAGGTCCACTGTACCATGTGGGCCAGCTCCCTGGCTGGGGATCAAACCAGTGCTGCAGTGGCTGCTGCTAGCTTCATACTGCTGAGACTTAACCCCTTGTGCCACCAGGGAGGCCCAGAACCCTAAAATTACTAAAGATGGCTAACATTTAACAAATGTCTTAAAAATAATCCTCACCATATATTAGTAAAAATACAGTGATAAGATCCTGATTTCATATTCCTTTGTCTTTTTTTATAGGGAGGAAATGTTCAGATTGGCATTCCAGTCCCCAAATACTTATCTTTGGAGAGCTCAGAAGGAATGCAAGGAGGCACCATAGCTCCAATGACGGGAACCATTGAAAAGGTAATGACATGAATGTGTAGAACAGCATTCAGCAAGGCCCGATAAATGTCTGTGTTGAACTTTGTCACAGATATCCTTTCTCCCTCTGTAAACCTTGCTCACTGGAAAACATCCATTTCAAGAAAACAAGAGGATCTATGATAGATTCAAATTAAATATTATAGTCTTCAATGAAATTGCCCATTTACTAATTTACAATAAAAATTGTTGATTTTGAAAGTGGGAATTTACATCAAAGTAGACTTAGGTTGTTTTTTTTTTTTTTAAGATTTATTTATTTATGTATACAAGAGCTGGGGTACCGGCCAGAGGCGCATAGGGTGAGAGGATTCACCAGAGACAGAGTGTGGAACAGAACAGGCGGATTGACCGAAATACACTGCTAAGGGGAGCAGCGGGCGAGTCAGGAGAGGTCTGCTGCACCATATGGGTAGCTCCCTGGCTGAGGATTGAACTTGTGCTTCAGGAGCTGTGGATAGCTTCATAGTGTTGACACTTAACCCCTTGCTCCACTAGGGTGGCCCAGTTTTCTTTTCTTTTTTTTTTAAGATTTATTTATTTATTTATACAAGCACTGGCTACAGTCAGAAGCGCGGGAGGGTGAGAGAATCACCAGAGCCAGAGCGGGGAGCAGAGTAGGCAGAAGGACCGAAGTACACTTGCTGAGGGGAGCAGTGGGGGGCAGGAGAGGTCTGTGCGCCATGTGGGACCCTCCTCTGGTGGCTGGGGAACAGCCGGGGATCAAATCGGCGCTGCAGAGGCTGCGGGCAGCTTTGCAACCCAGTGCTCAACCACTGCGCCACCAGGGAGGCCCCCAGTTTTCTTTTTATGATTAAAATGAAGCATTCACCAAATATTATCAAAAAAATGTTTGTTTTTTTTAATGTTAAATTTAACAGGAAACAATTTTATCATAAAACAGTAATATTTTCTCTAATGTACATAATTGTGTCTGTGTTAAAATAAAGTTTGAAAGGCAGTATTGGTGAAGGACAACATGGTTTGGTGTTGAATGCAGTATACATTCAGAGCTGAGATCTAGACTGACAACTTCAAATGATGATGGACCAGTAGACTCCTTTTATATGCTTGAATGTAGTAAAGTCCCCTCAAATTTATTTAAATCTTAAAGTAAATTCTCTATTTTTACTACCAAAAAAAGGGCAGAGGAAAATAAATTGTATAAGTATAATAAAACATTTCTCCTCTGAAATGTTTGCCCCAGGGGGTTTATGAGCTAGAAACTGGAGACTTCGGTCTGCCTTTAGCTTGTCACTCTGAGTTCCCCCAGACCTCTATATTATGGACATCCCTGCAAAGGGTCTTATATTTAATGATATACATTTTCCGCATAACTGTCCCCAGAGTTCATGAGCACTACTAAATTATCACCCAGCATTTCAGGGGTGTTTCTAAAGTTTTTCACAATTTTAATTCTACATGTTGACTTTAGAACCTGACTCTACTATATGATGTTTCAAAAAACTCCTTGATAACCATGTTAACCAAGAAAATACTGAGAGCTTATAGGATATATGTGTTCATTTATACATTAAAAAGGAAAAGAGGGGCCTCCCTTGTGGCACAAGGGGTTAAGTGTCAGCATTATGAAGCTATCAGCAGCCACTGCAGCATGAGTTTGATCCCCAGCCAGGGAGCTGACCCACATAGTGCAGCAGACCTCTCCTGACTCACCCACTGTTCCCCTCAGCAGTGTATTTCAGTCAGTCTGCCTGTTCTGCTCCCTACTCTGTCTCTGGTGAATCTTTTCACCCCTAGTATCTCTCATGTACACCCCAGCTCTGGTTGGCATAAATAAAATAAATCTTTAAAAAAATAATAAAAATAAAAAGGAAATTTTGTTTTTCTGAGGTTGTCAGTCAGGTTTCTTTCATATGATGTCACCTGTACTTTTACTACTCAGACCCTAAAGACTTGAAACACTATCCTGAGTATGGTGAAAATTTAGTGGTTCTTCCCTGTTGTTGGTATGTCTTATCTGTACTTTCATGGGGAAAAAGAAGATCCTAAGATATTTAAAACATATTGATCTGAATCAAGCAAGTCTATATGGTTTGGGGTTGGGGATGGGAAGCTAAGCAGCGCCTCTACTCCCCCTTCACCCCCGCCACTGTCAAAAGAGCCCACAATGCTAGATTAACCTTTGGGTCTCCAGTTTGCACCAGTACATTTACCTTTGGCAAACAACCACATGTAGGCTCTGTACATTTATATACCAACTCTATGAACCATGAAGGACCTTGTGTTTTTCAATATTAACCTGTCACTCTGAATCTCTAGGTGTTTGTAAAAGCTGGAGACAAAGTGAAAGCTGGAGATTCTCTAATGGTTATGATTGCCATGAAAATGGAGGTAAGTGAAATCACAGGTAAACTTTGGGAGCTATCAAACCTAATCATTAAGTTAATACCATTTAAAATATTAAGAACCATGGATTGATGAAGCATTAATGTCAGGAAACAATACAAAACCATCCTTCTCTTAAAATACTTTTTCACTTAGCTTAGATTTAGGCATTATCCCAGCTGAATGCTAACTATTGGTATTTTCTGATGTTGAACTTAGGATCCCACGTATTCTAGCCACCTGGGAGTTTTCTTTTAAAAAAAAAAAAATTGATTTATTTATGCATAGAAGAACTGGGGTGTAGGTAGGCCAGAGGTGCAGGAGGTGAGAGGATTCACCAGAGACAGAGTGGGGAGCAGAACATGTGGATATACTGAAATACACTGCTAAGGGGAGCAGCGGGAAAGGCAGGGGAGGTCTGTTGTGCCATATGTAAATTAGCTCGCTGGCTGGGGATGAAATCAGGCTGCAGCCATGATAGTGTGAAAGTGCTGAGACTTAACCCCTATGCCAACAAGGAGACCCAACCTGGGGAGTTTTTAAGATGTGCTTTTCCATACCAATTAAATTGACTCTCCCAGGTCCTCCTTGGTGGTGCAAGGGGTTAAGTCTCAACACTATGAAGCTATCTGCAGCCACTGCAGCATGAGTTAGATCCCAGGCCAGGGAGATGACCCCCCATGGCACAGCAGACCTCTCCTGGCTCACCCACTGCTCCCCTCAGCAGTGTGTTTCAGTCAGTCTGCCTGTTCTGCTGTCCACTCTGTCTCTGGTGAATCCTCTAAGCCCCCTGCCACCACACACACCCCTCTGGCCTACACCCCAACTCTTATATGCATAAATAAATAAAATAAATCTTTAAAAATAATAAGTTGAATCTCCCAGAGTGGGACCCAAAGGTCAGTAGTATTTTGAAAGTTTCCCAGTGAGCTTCTACTGTGGAGCTTGCATTGAGTTTTACCTGCTAGATCAGAGCTCCCCAATTAGAGACCTTGAGTGGGCTGTAGTTGTGTACATTAGTGAGGGTGACTCCTCCCAACCCCAGGCACACCGTAAAAATGTTAGTTTCTATGTGATGTGATTATGGATGGGATGATTATGCATTGGGATGACTGATAGATGACACGGCATCAAGACAGATGGCTTCATTTTTCATTTTTCATCTAACTTTCTTAACTGCTATATGCTCAGCACTCATTAATTTAACAACTATGTTTTGCCATGTTTTGTGTCTCTGCAGCATACTATAAAGGCTCCAAAGGATGGCACGATTAAGAAAGTGTTCTATCAAGAAGGTTCTCAGGCTAACAGACATGCTCCTTTAGTCCAGTTTGAGGAGGAGGAGTCTGGCAAAGGGGAAGAAAAATAAATTCCATCAAAGAAATGACAAGCTGAACTCTACTTTAAGTATGATATCTTTAGGGGCCTCCACTGGTGGCGCAGTGGTTGAGCGCTGGGTTGCGAGGCTGCCCGCAGCCTCTGCAGCGCCAGTTGAGATCCCTGGCCACCGGTGAGGGTCCCACAAAAAAAAAAAGTATGATATCTTTATACCAAAAAGAGAAAGTGCCTTTTTGTTTTTCTTGGGGTCTAATAAACAGCGGTTTTACTAAATGATTATATGGTTGTGCCAAAACCTTTCATATTTAAGAATCATGTACTTGGATCACAAATACAATAAACTCTCAAAAACGTTCCTATTAATAAAACTGAATTATACATTTTTATTGGAAGCTAATATGGTTTGTTTCTACCTTGAATTTTATGTAATGTAATGTCTTTAGGAAAGTGGGAAGCCACTTAATCAAAAGAGAATGATTAGAAGAGAAAAGGTGGTTTAACTAAATGAATTCTTTCCCATTTATAATTGTAATGAAAATTGGCATTAACATAGTTTGGAGACAGATGCCATAGAATTAAACTCAACCAAGGTTTTGCTTTCACCAAAGAGTAACTTATTAGGCAGTTTAAAGATTTAGATGTTACTTGTTTCTTATCTCTGTGTTTGGAAATTTCCTATCTAGACTGCTTCTGCTTTTATTTTACTTTCTAAGCTTGTACAAAATAGATATGTTTATACAGATACATATATATATATATACACACTTATGGTTTTATATGTATATATTTTATATATTTATATCATATTTTATTTAAACTAATTTTGTTAGGATGGTGTTTAATTTGGATAAATTTGAAAAAAAAAGTTACAGGAAATGGATAAGTATAGAAAACCTGACTGCTGAATACTTTTTCTAGGAGTACTCTGTAATATTTTCTTTAGGGGAAATAATCTTTCAATTTTATTTCTTTAGTTTTGTCTAGATTCTCTTTGTCACTACTATTAAGAGACATAGAACCCTCTGTATTTTCACATATCCACTGAAGTGTTGAATTATTTGTTGAATTCTTGATGAATACATAAGACTATGTTGACTGTTATGGAGAGTACAAAGGGATATAAAAGATGGTCTCTGTACTTTAAGATGCCTATGATTTGATTGGGAAAAAAGACATGATCATGTCAAAAGTTATACAGCAAAGTATTAAATCCAAAATTAATCTTTTCTCCTAGCTGCCAAGAAAGCAATTCCATTATCAAGAGAGTGGTGAGAAAGGTACCAAATACTAAAATTGGAAATGCTGAGTTCTCAAATAAATCTGATTACACAGCTTAGTCAGAATGTCCATTTTTCCAAGAAGGCAACATGAAACTCAATATCCTAAGGTTGGGAGGGGAGGGGCGATGCAGAGGCTGATGTCATGTGACTGATGCACAGAAAATTGATATTTTAGGAACTAAGGAGAGAATGCTGTGGGCAGATGAGATTGAGTTAAGTTTCATAAAGGAAGGAGAACCCAGGGGAAGTAGTGGAAGGCAGGAGTTAGAAACTAGAAATGAAGGAGCAAAACTTCATTGTTGAAATGACTAGACTGTGTTGTATATCCAGGAGCAGATCTGCTTAACTAGAGTAAGAGGTTGGGGGAGGGGCTAAAAGAAAAGGTGTGAAATTTGGGTTGGAGCCAGATTGTAATTGGCATGGAATAATAGGTTTGAATTTTACCTTGAAAGTAATGGTGACATTGAGTTGTTTTTTTTTTTACAAGGTTGGACATTTGTGTACGTTATGGCCTACCATCATGTTTCTAGAAATTCTCAAATACACTTTGTGCATCAAAAATCTTCACAGCCACATAACCCATAATAGTGAAGCATTGGAAAAACTCAGAGTTGGTTGGCAGAAGGAGTAAATAACTATGATAAACACTGGATGTATGATAAACACTGGAGTACTGTGTAACAACAAAATAAGCAGGTTAAGTGTATAAATATGGGGCTTTCCTGGTGGCGCGGGCATTAAAGTCTCAGCACTATCAAGCTATCACCAGCCACTGCAGCATGAGTTTGATCCTCGGCCAGGGAGCTAACCCACATGATGCAGCAGACCTCTCCAGTCTCACCTGCTGCTGTTCTCCTCACCAGTGTATTTCAGGAGATCTGCCTGTTCTGCTCCCCACTCTGTGTCTGGTGACTCCTCTCACTGGCACTCCCCATACCTCTGGCCTATACCCCAGTTCTTGTATGCATAAATAAATAAAAATAAATCTTTAAAAAAAATCAACATGGATGAAATCTTAGAATCATAATTTTTTTAAAAGATTTATTTATTGACTGAAATACACTGCCGAGGGGAGCAGTGGGCAAGGCAGGAGAGAACTGCTGTGCCATGTGGATTGCTCCCTAGCTAGCTGGGACTCGAACTCGTGCTGCACAGGCTGCGGATTGTTTCATAGTGCGGTGCTTAACCCCTTGCGCCACCAGAGAGGCCCAGAATCATAATATTGAGTGAAATAGCATGTCTCAGGATGCACACAGTAGGGTTCTACTTCTACAGACTTCCAAAATCAATAATACAGTGTGTATTTATGTATATATGGGTATATATGTATATATACATATACATGTAGTAAAACTATATTCTTAAAAATAATAGAATAAAAAGTTCAATGTTAAAAGTTAGCCCTGGGTGGTAGGCAAGGGGCTGAGATAGATGAGATATATTCAGGTAGGTGCAAGGTACTCTTAATGTTCAGATAATAGGGTTGGACGGTTAGTTGGCTTATATTTATTTTACAGTTATGTTTCATAACTTGTTACTTATAAACTTTATAATTCAAATATTTTTTTAAAATTTCATCTGTCAACAATATACAAGTTGAATGGAATAGGCTAGAGGTTAGAAAACTACTTAGGAAGAAGTTCTTATAGTTAAGCATGAGGTGACAAAGGCATATAGACCAGTGCCTTTTAAACTATATTTTTAGCAATAGACCCTTTTCACTTGTCCAAACAAAATATTCTTCATTTGCAAGGGGGAAAAGCAAAGGTGCTCTGGTGGAAATTTGGGGTAACCCTCTGTCCGCTCTCATATCCTTTGGTGGAGTAAGTGAGGTCTTCTCTACTTCATTGCTGATCACAGCAATGAATGTGTATAGAAGGAATTTGTATAGATGTGTATAGAAGGAATTTGAGGCCAGCTAAGCTCATTTACTCAAATCTTCGTAAAATTCTTCAAGAGCATTGGCAATTGTGGTGCTGTGTGAGCAGAGTTCCTTTGCATCTGTTTCCTCTATAAACAGAGCATTAGCTGAATACCAGGATCCCTGGGGGGTAAAGATGGTAAAAAATGCCCTAGTAGATGGGAAACGATTCAGCTGCATAGAAAAATATAATGTGGTTGGAAGTGAGTAGCACCTTTTACCTGTGTACTAGGTGCTGTGGGGGTTGGGTGAATGTAATAAATTCTACTCTGGGTCAGGAAGCTGAGGGAGAGGCAGGGACATATGAACTGGACTTTGGAGGATAGCCATTTGCCAGATGGAGAAAGAGGTAAGACAAGGCCATTGCAGGGAGAGGGACTAGCAAGGGCTAATAATAACAGGGAGGTGTGAAAGTGCACACAGGGTTCAGGCACAGAGCAATCCAGCAGGAGCTAGACCATAGGGCCTGTGGTAGAGAGCTGGAGAGCAGGCTGCCCAGCAGGGAAAGAACTTTATTCTGGAGGGAGTTGGAAGCCCTGGAGATTTTCAAACAGACAAGTTTTTCAAAGTTATTTCTGTCCACAGTCTGGAGTACAGATTGGAAAGTGGAAAGAGACTAGAGACAGAATCCAAAAGAGGCACCAAATACGGAAGGAAGCCTCTGCTGGGTGGGCCCCGTTAGAGAAGACCTTGGTTCACATCTCCTTGACTTAAAAGTAACTCTTCTTTTGGCAAAGATCCATTTGTAGAAAAGGATAAAAAACTGAGTAATACAGTTGGAAGAAAACTTTTTGCTACCATATTGTAGACAACCGTATTCCAGATGCTGTATGGTCAGGCCTATAATAACCAAGAAAACAAAATTTAAGAGCCCTGATTGTTGCTAGGGAAGTCACCTTGTCAAAGCAGCTTTGGACCTAAAATTTCTTTCATTCAGACCCTAACTCAGCTTCTTACTGTGGTGTCATGGGCATGTCTTTTAGCCTCAGCTTTATCTGTAAAATGGGAGAGGCACTGTTACCTCATAGGCTTGTTTGGAAATTAAATGAGAAAATGTAGAGGCTGCTTTCAGCGCTGTGCCTGGAAAATCATTTATATGCAGCTGGTAGTTATTATTAATTTCTAGCTCCAGCTATTGCTTGAGAGCATTTAAGAAACTGCACTAAATTCAACCCAGCTGGTTACTCTTGCCAGCAAAATCCCTAGGTCCTATGACGGCGGAAAAACCCAGCCTGGACATGCATTACCCTGTCCCCTCTTTTTGCTCCCTCCCCCAGCTCTAGCCTGCTCCAGTGTCACCCAGGCACCTGGCAACCACAGCAGATTGTGGTGCTGTCCCCATAGCTTCCATCACCCCTCCCTCTGTGACAGTCGGGCTGCCAGATTGGCAGGTCCTGGAGCCTGTGTGCTTGCAGGACAGCAGCATGCCCAGAAGCAGCCGAGTTTTGCTTAAAAGCTAGGCCTGGACTTGATTTATTTGTCCTATTAGCTGTCAGTGTCTGTGTGTGTGTGCGTGTGCGTGTGTTTGTGTGTAGCTGGCTCTGAAGGGGAAATGGTGTCTTGTCTCAGTTTCAGTGGGCATGGGCATTACCACCTTAGCTGGGCAGTAAAATAGGAGGTCTCTTATCCAAACTCAATGTCTTCTTTTCTTCCACTATTGGCTTCTCTTCTCACTCCTGCATATTTACTGTTCTTAACCTTCAAGCAATTCTCCTAAGCATATTAGAAGTTGAAATGTGCACCTATGTTCTACCTACTCATGGCACTGCTGCTATTGTTAAAATATTTACAGTGTTGGGCCTCCCTGATGGCACAGGTGTGAAAGTCTTAGTGCTATCACCAGCCACTGAGGCCTGAGTTAGATCCCTGGCCAGGGAGCTAACCCACATGTTGCAGCAGACCTCTCCTGTCTCATCTGCTGCTCCCCTCAGCAGTCAGTGTATTTCAGTAGATTTGCCCGGGCCCCACTCTGTCTCTGGTGAATCCTCTCACCGCCTTCCCGCCCCCCACCTCTGGCTTATACCCCAGTTCCTCTATGCATAAATAAAATAAATCTTAAAAAAAAATTATAGTGTTGATAGTAATACTTTGCACTTCTGTTGCACCTTTCATCAAAGGATCTTAAAAAGCACTCCTAAATATTCACACTAAGTTTCAAAATACCCAAGAAGAAAATGTGACTAAAACTCCATGGTGAGAAGGTAGAAAGTGAATGTGCCCAAATGTTTTGCTCCATGCCCAGAGCAGGGAACCTTGGTCAGTAGCCCCTTCCTGCTAATGTCACACTGCTCCTGAGGGCTGGCCCCAGGGAGAAGCAGCCTCCTGGTTAGTGGTTCTTCCCCCACAGACTCCAAGTACAGGCCATCCCAGAAGGCCCCGCCCAGGGAAGGCTGGGTGGGAGTCTTGTCTGTCTGCCCCCATCTGTCCTCAGGGTTCTGGGGACAACTTTCCTTCTGGACCAGAGGTGCCTGCCCACTAGCTGATCATAGCTGTGATAGCAGTGATTACCCTATCAC